GGCGGGGACGGCGAGGCCGGTGGCGGGGTCGAGCTGCATTTGCTCTTGCGCCTGCTGCTGTTCGAGGAACTGGTTATCCTGCACGACAGCACCGTCGAGCATGTTGACGTCCACGCCCGTATCGCCATTCACAGCCGGCGCCACATCGACCTGCGGCGGCACAACCTGCACCTCCTCTTCGATCGGGAACTGGTACTCCTCCTATATCCACTATCAGCACCCCAATCATTGCTTTTGAAGGAGAGAGAGGGAGGGACGCACAGTCGCAGGCTTACAAAACCTCTTATACTTCTTCTTCAGCTCCACCATAATCGGCGCAAGCCGATACTTCAAAAACGTGAGCGTCTTCACGTCCTGCTCCAGCCACGCCGCCTTCTCCGCCTCGCTCGGCTTGCGCGGCTCGAGCGGCGGCGCCACGGGCAGCTTCTCCAGCACCCGCCGCCGCCGCTTGACGCCGTCGGGGAAGTCGGACGGTTTGCGCGCGACGTCGGCGAGGAGGGGCGCGAAGAACGCTGAGCGCTGGGAGGGGGTGGGGAGGGTGAGGGCTACGCGCGTGTCGCGCGAGGGCCCGAACCAGGATCGGACGTCGCGCGGGAGTTGGGTCGGTGGGCCGTCGCAGACTGCTAAGAGCAAGATCGGATCGGTGGGCGTAAGGCTCGCAAGCATAGACGCGACTGTGCTTCTCGCCGTCTCGGATACCGCCGCGCACCACCCCGTCAAGCTCGGGATGAATATGATAGAGGGTTGATGGCGTTTGGCTTCGACGAAGAGCTGCACGATGGCTGCTTCCGCGGACTGAAAGCTTTGTGAGTAAACTCTAATGTGAGGGGGAAGAGGGGAGAAGACGTACGCGCGTCGCATCGCCCAACAACGTCCCCAGATCCAGATTCTGCACGTGGAACCCCTCCAGATGATGCAGCGCAGCCGTCGCGACGTACTGCTGCCCCATATCCTTCGGGCCGTACAGCAGCAGCCGCGGCCTGAACACCCGCAGCGTCTCCATGTCTACCTCTTTGTGAGCACACCACCCAATGTAGAGTGGAGGAAGAGGAACGCACTCTGCAAAACCATCTCCCGCTCCAACGCCCCCTCGGCCCCCTCATCCTCAAACTCGGCCTCCTCGAGCGCCGTGCGCCGCTTATACTGCGGCATAACGCGGTCCAGCACCTCCTTCGCCCTGTTCAGCGGCTCCTCCAGCAGCGGGACGAGCTGGGAGGGGAGCGGGGCGGCGACGCTCGCGGAGGAGCGCGCGCTGGAAGGTACGATCTCTACAGACGAAGATGAAGATTGTTATGTTAGCGAACCTCTTCGAGATAGTGTGGGGAGGGAGAGGGTACGCACGCTTCACACACGCCGCGAAATCCCGCAACTCGACGCGTATCCCTTCAGGCTTGATCAACAGCCTTTCATCCGACTTGTAGATCTGCGGGTACGCCCTCTGCACCGCGTGTAATGCCGCCCTACCACACCGCGTCAGCACTCTTCTCATCAGGGTGGGTGGGTGGGTGAAGAAGAGAATGCGGGAGGAGAGGGGAATGAGAAGGAGGAGGGGAGGACGCACTCGGTACACAACGCTCTCAAATCAGCCCCTCCATAGCCCTTCGTGAGCTTCGCGAGGCCCTCGATGCGCCGGTCGACTTCGGCTTGTTCTTCGGGTGTCCGGGCGGGCGCTTTCGGCTCGGCTACTGCGTCGAGCGCTTTCTCCTTCTCTTTGTCAGCGTCGGGTTGGGCGTCGTTGGTAGGGGGGAGAGCGGAGGTAGAGGTAGAAGCGGGCGGGGCGGTGGAAGCGGACGAAACGGGCGCCTTGCCTTTCCCCTTCACATCGACTTCGGCGGGCTTGTCCTTGTCGGCGTCGGCGTCAGAGGTAGAGGGCGCGGGCGCAGGGTCGGACCCCGGCCTCCGCGTCGGCTCCTTCCCGTCTCCCCAGCCCGTCCACCCGCGCGTCTGGATGCCGAGGATCTTCTTGCGCGCCTGTCACAATCGCGCATGAGTATCGTGTGTAAAGGACGAGAGGGGAGAGGAATTGGGAGGTACCTCGAGATTTGGTAAACCGAAGTAGAACTCCCTGTCGAACCGCCCGGGCCTCCTCAGCGCAGGATCCACCGCGTCCGGCCGGTTCGTCGCGCCCAGCACCACCACCTGCCCGCCCCATCAGCACCGCTCCTCTTATATATAATAGTGTGGGGAGACGCACCTGCCCGCGCCCATCCATCCCATCCATAAGCGCCAACAGCGTGCTCACAATGCTCGCGTGTATCTGGTCCTGCTTGCTGCTCCTCACGGGCGCTAATCCATCGATCTCGTCGAAAAATATGATGCTCGGCTGGCAGCGTCTCGCCTCTTCGAATAACAATCGTAATTGGCGCTCGGCCTCGCCGACCCATTTACTCAGCACGTCCGCGCCCTTGCGCATGAAGAACGCTATGCAACACTCATAAGCCACCACAGGGTTGATGATGAGAAAACATGGGACGCACAGATGCCGCGCCCGCCGCTGCGCGTGCTACTCGCCAACGCCCTCGCGAGCAAAGTCTTGCCCGTGCCTGGCGGGCCGTGGAAGAGCACGCCGCGCGGGGGCGTGAGGCCGAATTGCTGGAAGACTTCGGGGTAGAGCAGGGGCAGGAGCGTCATTTCTTTCAGGCTGTTGATATCTACAAATGAGTTTGAGTATCTGGATAGTCAGGAGCGGGGTAGAGGAGAGGATAGTGATGAGGAGGGGGAGGGAAACGCACGCTGATCAAGCCCGCCCACATCCTCAAACGTCACAGCCGTGTTCACGCCCAGCGGATCGGCATCCGCGAGCGCGGCGTCGCCGACCTTGCCAAAGTTCGACGGGCCGCCCGCCGCAGCGCCCAGATCGTTCAGGCCTGCGCCCGTGCTGGTGCCGAGGCCGCCGGCGAGCGCGGGCGTCGCGCCGAGGCCGCCTCCGAGGGCGTTGCGGGGAGGGGCGTCGGAGTCCTATCGCACCAACATGAGTTTGAATATTCAGAGTGTAAGGATGAGAAGAGGGAGGGAAAGATAATGCGTACGCTGTCGTCAGGATTGGGTAAATTGAAGAAGCGGCCAAGGTCAGCCCCGCTCGCGCCCCACCCCGGCATCTCGCCCTTCTTCCGTCCTCTACTCCGCGGCTTTACCGACGCCTGCAGCTCGACGTCCGTCAACGGCGGCGGGATCGCGTAGTTGATGACCTTCCCCTTCTTCCTCAGTCCATATCTTCTCCCGCTCTTCCCGCCCCCGTCGTCTTCGATCTGGTTGTCGGCGCCAGAGGCGGGCGAGTCGACTTCGATTACGTCGTCGTTGTCGAGGTCGGGCTCGCGCGCGGGGGAGTGGTCGGAGGAGGGGAGCGCGTCGTTCAGGTCGCCGTCGGACGAGCCGTGTGCGGACGAGTTGTCGATGTAGTCGTCTATGGGCTCTTCTTTCTTCGCGCGTCCTTTATTCCTGCCTGAACGGCGCGTGCCATGGGTTTGTGTTGGCGCGGCCGCACGTCGCAAATTTGATCTGCGGGTGTTGCGCGCGGAGGGCGGGGACGGCTTGGGGTTCGTAGACGCCGAGCGCGTGCGCGGGCCGTGGCGCGTGTTGTACCGCCTACCACTCTGCGCCTCCTCGTCGCTCAGGTCCGCATTCTGCGCAGGCGCGGGCTTGGTCCGGCTCCTGAGCCTCCTCCTCGGCCCAGCGTCATCGTCCTCTTCATCCTCCCCGTCCGCCAACCTCTCGTCCTTAACCGCCTTACTCTGCGCAGGCGGCGGCGGGAGCGCGTCCTCGTCCGTATCGCCCTCCCCATCTTCGTCCCCCTCGTCGTCCTCGCTCTCCACCAACGTCTTCTGCAGAATCTTGCGCCCGCGCGCGCTGCGGGTGTACACGGGCGTCGGCGCGGGCGGCTGCGCGCTCTCGTCGATCGAGCCCTCCGCATCCTCGTCGTTGTCCGCGTCGCCGTCTGCGTCTGCGTCGGGGTCGAACGAGTTGTCCTCCCCCGGCCCGTACACGCTCCCGCTCGCATCGCTGTCTTTTCGGCCGCGGCGCGTGGATACCATGTCCCACTGCTGCTCTCTGTATCCTCCTGCCTGGTCTGGGTTGAAGTGTGTTGTGGTTGAAGTCGAGTGTGTGGCGGTGGTGCTGGGTTTGGTGGGGGTACGAAGCGCGGGCAGCCGGATCCTAAGCGATGGTGACTGGCCGTCTGGTACAGACATGCGCCGGCGCGGTGGCAGGCGACGAGCAGTAGCACTTCGTGGAAGGTGCAGGTGAGAGTCAATTCGAGAGACGACGCGACGACGAGTCGAGGTCACACGCTAGCCAATTGATGCGCTTATGTAATCGCACCACGCGGCCGCCGCCTGTCCTCCCGCCTCAGCGATCCCAAGTGCTCTCCTTCGACCACCGCTGTGCTCCCTACTTCAGTTCCGTCCCTGTGGTAGAGCTATCCAGTGCGATGCATGAGTGAGTTGTTGGAGTGAGCCCCCAGAGAAGACCGGGACGTCCGGATAGATGCTGGGCGGGCCATGTCGTCCTCGAGCGCGCACCGGTGGTGGAAGTTCGACGGCAAGAGTCGTCCCTTTTGCGCCCCGCCACCGCTCGCCGTTTGCGACGAGATCGCAGGGAGATGTATCACGTGACAGCCCTATATACGCTGTCCTTTTTCCCTGTTCTATGAGAGTCACTTTGTCGCGTTTGGGCGTAGATGTATGTGTATGCGTGGTGAGTGAATAGGACACGGTACGAGGTTAGGGAATAGAGTATTGAGGATGAGGAGGACGTCCTGGGCGGCGCCTACGGCGTCTTGTGTGCGGTATGACGGCGATGAGACCCTCCGGGCCGTTGCCCGACTTATCCGTTGAAAAGCAAGCCTCTCTATCCACGGTACCAACCCACAGGCCTCTTCACTCACTGTATGCGTCACTTACAAGTCCTGTCCACACTCAGCGAACGTCTATGTATGCTATATCTACACCCAATCAATAATCCGTGAAATGGCGACTCTGCCTGTAACGACGTCGTACCGCTTAAAAAGACTACCCCGAAAGCAAAAATACGCTTTTCACGGACATGCTCTTCGACAGATGCGAGGAGGCAGGAGGCGCGCGGAAAGAGCCGATGCGCGTCTCCGCGGCGCGTGGGCGTCTGTAGGCGCATGTCCGACGAATCGTCCCCAGGGCCGACGCGCGCGTGTCGGCGAAGTTGGCCGCCGACCACTATCATCCCAAGTGCCATGCGCTATACACCTGCCAATATACCCTCGCGCTGCTTTCATGCTTAACCAGAGGCTCTGTGGTGCTCGTGCGAATGGCTGTAATACGGCATCGAGTTGTAACTTGAGTCTGAGAGCGGTGATGGCGCTGAAGCCGAAGTTGTCGGAGTACGGCTATTGCGTTCATGCTCTCAAGCGGACTTGGTCGTCTGACACAAGACGCCGAGTCTCATGCCCTCACTCGTATTCAGCGAGGAAAAGGCTCTGGTACGCAGATCTAGTACTACAATCGTCCTTCCGTCCCGTCGCCATCTCCGATCTTCAGACAGTCATGATTATCGACCCCTGCTCGAGCTCGACAGGAGTACTTTGACGTCTGTAGATGTATCTTCGACTATCGGCTAATACGCCACACCTCCGACCTCACCATTCACACCTCTTCAAAATGGACTCCCACGGTTCAACGTTCAACGTTCAACGCTAGACTGTCAAGTATTGTGGTACATGTGCCGTTCAGTCTTAATGACTCGCGTCGTTTGATTTACGAGCCGCACGTCTGAGTCGCGGCTGGAGCCGTCCATGTACATCATGCCCAAATACTGTGCGCTGGACGGCGTGATGCGCGTACCCGGACTATCTTACTCGCTCTGGTTTGGCCGACGTATACGTCTATTACTTACCACGAGTCGGGAATGGAGGGCAGAACTTCTCCACCCTACGCCGAGGCCGACGACCTCGGACTATCACCTCAAAATCGTCTCACCGCAAGACCTCCACATCCCACCAGTCTCCCTCTCACCAGAAACGTCCTGCTTCCTCCTCACAATCCAAGACTCAAGCGGCGTATATAAGCACGCCAGCGTTGACGACTCGAATATCGCTAACGTCTTCCGCATCTTACTCAAGTCATCATACAACTATGCTCTCTGCTACCCGCCTCTCCGCGCTCCTCTGCCTCGCGCTCACCTTCTCAGTCCGCGGTGCGCCCACCAGGTCAGTCTTCCGCCACTCATTCGCCATTATACAAGTCCTGAGCGCGTCCCTTTCAGCACCGGCACTCCGGACCTGTCCATTCGCAGCCCTCAAAGCCCCACCGATATCGCCTCCGTGCTCCGCGATAGGCTCCACGACCACCTCTCACAAATCCTACGCACCCTCCAATCCCCCACTCCGACTGCGACGAGCGCGCCCGCCAAGCGCCAGCTTCTTTCCTCGCCGCTCGATCCCCGGCCCGACCCCCTCACTGCCGAGGCTGCTATAGATGCGTTTGACGAGCGGGGCGGATTCGTCAGTGTCTCTCTTCGGGGATGACTGGTGTTGTGCGCTTCGGCTTTTTGAGGATTGGATAGGTCGTGGGTCGTATGTGCATTGTATTTGTGACTGTATCGCGAGTTGTGAATCAAGACTCGGTCGAGCTTTGATGGACTTTATCTGCCACGGATAATCGTGAATGCGTCTGAGGTGCGAGTGTCCGGACTCGGCTATAAGCCGGCGGCACATACGATAGAGGCTAGAGCTGAAGTGAATCATGCGGTAGGGTGTCTCGTGCACGAGTAAGATCAAGCCAAGCGCGCGCGTATAGGACGTCGACGGATCCGGAGGAAGCGCGCAGCATCGAATGGGCGCATATGGGTCCTTGTGAACGTCATTTCGCGCGCGCTCGTGCGTCGTGAGTCGCGACTCTCAGTCCGACCACCATCGTCGTCGGCCATACATACCACACCTATACATTTCGTCTTGAGACCTAGCCCTGAACGGATCGAGAGACCCTCGCCGCGCTTTATCTGGCAAGCCCTAAAAGGGATATCTGTCATGAACCGTGTAGACTCGCTCGCTCTTGTCGCCGCCCGACCTCAACATTCCCAGTTCATGCTATCATCCAGACGCTCAACATCCCTCGGCACTCACAGGTGAACCCTCGACTATTCAGCGGCTCAGCACGCACATCCAGAACCACTCCATTCGTCTAAGGTCTCACCGCGCGTGTAATGTCTCCGACCTCAGCATTCCCGGCCCAAGCCCTTTTCGAGACCGACTAGGATATCTTGACTTTTGACTTTTGAAGATGCGTCTGCGGCGAGAGTATAAGAAGACGCGAAGGGCCTCACAGTGTTGAGAGCAACAGCGCGAACCGGGTCATTCGCTCTTCTATCAACGCTAACTCAATACGTTCACATCTTCTCGCTCACGATGATATCTTCTACCCGCCTCCTTGTATCCGCTTGCCTCGCGCTGGGCCTTACCGCCCACGCCGCTCCGGTCGAGTCAGCTCCCTCCCACTCATCTCCTTTTCCTTTTCCTCGCTCACAACTTCCAGCACACCCTCCGAACCTGCGGACAAAGTCGCCCCCAACACCCCCTACTCCAAATTCGGTATACACGCCCCCCTCGCCCAACTCTTGAACGGTGTCCTCGAGATTCTGCCCCTCGGAGACTCAACCGCCTACGCGAGAGACTTCAACAACGACGACGTGCTCGACGATCTTCTCGGGAAGAATACGCTGGGCTCTCTGATCCCTCGCCAGATCAACGTCGGCCCGTCCGCATCTGACATCCTCGATGCTCTCTTTGGGAGCTCACCTATCTCCTTCGACTCCACCGCCAGCGCGAGAGACATCTCGTTCAACTTCAACAACGACGACGTGCTCGACGATCTTCTCGGGAAGGATACGCTGGGTCTTTGATCCCTCGAGCTCTCGTACGTGACTAGGTGCAGTGGGTGTCGTCGTCTTTTGTGCGGGTGTCTGTGTGCTTATCGTGGACTACAGCTCTTAGGCTCATAGTAGAACGTACACCACCTTCTCTACGTGGAACTTGAATGTGATTCATGTGCGGGCTATTGCGCTCGGCGCTGGAGATGATACAACCGCTGTGTGGACTGTACTAAGATCCCTTGTACGAATGGTATTGGATATTGAGGTAGCATTGTGATCTACATGTATGACGACTCGGAGATGCCGATCGAGTCTGAGTAGCCACTATATGGCAAAGGCGGGCTAGCAAGGATATAGTCGCCGAGCGAAAATGGAAAGACAGCACACCTGAGGTACACAATCGTGCATTACAGAGCAGTGCACGATATTTCTGCATGGCTTTCGGGATGGCGCGCTATGAGATGCCGAATGCGCGCGGCTCTTACCGGATCGGACGTTGCAGAGGTTGTCTTCGTTAGTCTATGATACGCCGAGGCACTAAGCTGTACTGCCCACTCGTCCTCCTGTACTGCATCTATTAAATACAGCTCTTAGTCAACGTAGGCCAAACGTAGGCCATAATGGACAGATGTGGGCGTTTGCTGCCATCTATAGTCCGTGTGAAATTGATCGCAACACGAAGCGCGTCGAGATGATGAAGCCTCCCGTCTTCGGCGGTGACCACCACCGCGCCCGGCTCATTCATCATGCATTTTCCACACAAGTTCGTGCAGGTCTGCTCTCTCTAGGTATACCAGTGCTTCTTCCAGAGAATCACATAGAACGAGTGCGGGGTGGATCCAATCCTTCGCCCGACATCATCGGAGCGTCTTCCACTGGTCCGGTGCTCTGCATCAACTAACGCGACTTGAAACGCGCCGAAGAGCGACGTGCAGATACTCATCATGCAGGCTCCGTAGGCATAGCTGCCGATGGCCTCCCCCGAATTGGCATGTTCCCGCGAGTTCTCGGTAAGACCTCTTTAGTGGTGCGCCGCCAGGATTGCCAAGTGGCAACTGAATGCACGCGCAGGGAGCTCATGTCTCGCCGAGCGTGCATACCAGACTCTCTGGCTTGGAAGCTGCGGGCTTACGCTCTACAACGAAGCGCATGCGCTCGTATATAAAGCTCGATACTGCGAATTCAAGATGGGCTGGCACTCACAGCGCATTGCGCCCGATTGACTCTAGCAACTACTTCTATTCGTTTCATCTTGAGCCATGTTCGACCTCCCCGTCTTGCTCTGCCTTGCCCTCAGTCTCACTGCTCATGCCGCTCCGACCAGGTCGGTACCCTTTCCATCTGGGCTAGTGCCTCGTTGCTTCGCCAATACTAACCACATCGCATACACCACTAGCCCTGGCATCCCAGTCGCGCGCAACGGCACATTCCATCCTCCATTCGCGTTACAACCGGTTAAATCTCTCTTGGAAGCTCCTGATCATAGCGCTAGCATGGGCGTGGCACGCGCGTCGAGGGACCTGTCCCCCGATATCACGGCAAAAGTGAACACGAAACTCAAAGATCTATTCTTTAACGAATGGAATTCTGTATATGCGAAGTTTGACCCGGCGTCTGGTAAGTCCTGTAAGACCGGCGGGCGCTTGTTGGTTGCTGATGATGCTTGTAGTATCAAAACAGAGCTGATCCGGCGTGGTGGCTTGCCTTGCGTTGCCGTGTTGAGAGCGGGTAGGCGATTTAGACTTTGCTATTCTTGCGTACAGATAGCGAATGCTTCTGTGATAGTATATGTATCGTGTGCGATACTATGACTCTGCAATGCACTTTCTCTGCTACTGAGCATGTACTTGTCCAACTCCTGCATACTAGAAGCCGATACGTGGGGGGTGCGTAGAGAGAGGAAGCCATGCGTGTGCGCACCCCCCGTCGGCAGTGGCACGGATACTGCTGTGGGCGTTTGCTGGCCCCGGTGGGAATTCACACCGGTCCGAGAAACCGAGGCGCTTCCGCGACTTCATGCGCTTCGTGCAGCTCTGTTCTCTCCGGCAACCACTGGCAACCAGTGCTTAGCGCCTTAGCGCTTCTCCCCGGACTCTCCAAGACGTTCGCATTCGCATGTTGAATGAGCTCGGATCCTCCGGCCCGAAATAAGGAACGTTCTCTTCCGGTTCCCTGCATCAACTTGCTCTTGCCGCGCGTTCTGTCGCAGTTATACTGCGCCGAACTGCTACCCACAGGTTAACTGGCATTCCTTCATACGCATCTACTCCATCATGCTCCCCTGTGTGTCCTGAGTGCACCCTATAGTCCATGCCGATGTATCAACGACAACATGCCTCAGTCTACCCCATCCGTCATAGGAAACCCCGTGCACTCTCATGCCCGTCCATACAGCCGATCGGTACCGCCCGCTCTCCCACCTCCAGACAACTCAAACGGCTAAGCGCTGATGAACTGAATACCTTCCGCACAAGGCCAAATGACGCACGCGTGCGCCCTCAACTTGAAGCGCTTTAGTGTCGTGAGTAATAACATCAGCGTCTCGCGCCTACTGTATCTGTCCTTAATGCAAACCATATCTAGCCATGCACCGCCCGCCCAGCTGTCAGACCTTGTAGGCCGCCGTATCTCACGTCTCGGCTCCTGTCACTCGTGTACCATGTCGCGCAGCCCCGGCGGCTTGCAGGACGCATAAAGGTGTTACTTGCCGCGGGCGCGAGATCATGGCCGCGGCCGACCCAACCTACCCCCTCTACCCTGTGGCCAGCATCTTAGCAGCTGCTTCTCTGCTACTGGTGCTTACTGCTAGTGTTGCCCGTCAGAGTTGGAACCTTGGCGTGGTCTTTCTTAGCTTCTGGCTCTGCTTGGAGACGTTCATAAACGGCGTCAATGAGATCGTGTGGTCGGACAATGCAGACATCAAACACGTGGTATACTGCGACATCGGTGCGCGTCCATCACACCTCTGGGTGTTCACGATCTAACCTCGCATTGTCGGCCGGGAACAGTCACACACCTGCAGCTCATCAGCTCCATCGTCAAGCCAGCGTCGACATTCATCATAACGCGCCGGCTGTATCTGATAGCAAGCCTGCGATCGGTCGAGCTACCCAATCCATCAGCTGTGCGCCTCGTCTTTGCAGTCTAGACTTCCCGAAGCTGACAGCCTCCCAGCGGCGCCGAAACTTGCTGATTGAATGGACATTGGGTCTCGTTCTTCCTGTGATGATTGGGGGACCCATCTGTGAGCATCAAAGATGGCTTGTTGAATAGAGTCGCGCGCTGACGAAGGATACAGACTATGTCGTCCAGTCCCGGCGTTTCACGGTAGTCGAAGGCTTTGGGTGCCTGAACTCCAGTGTCTTCTCAGTTCTTACCTTTTTCCTAATCACCAGTTGGAGCATCAGCCTTCCGTTGTTATCCATCGTAACTTACCTTCGTGAGTACTGGGCCATCTTTCATTCATTCAGATGCTAACCTTTGTACTCGTAGCGATGGTGGCTCGAGTCTTCTACAGACAGGGTAGAGACACCAATCAATTCCTGAACAGCAACGGCACTGTCTCGCGCACCAACTATCTCAGGGTCCTTGCCGTCGCCAGCACTGACATGCTTCTCACTCTTCCCATCGGCATCACCAACCTCGTTCTCTTCGTTCTGTCATCACCGCATGAAATGACGTTCTATCCTGGCTGGGAGCACGTCCACTCCCACTGGAATCCCACCAGCGAGTCTTACTCGAAGCTCCTGGAGCGCGGCACATTCAATGTTGCGAGGACATACTTCACCCGATGGACGTCTCCTGTGCTGGCGTTCGCAATCTTTGCTCTCTTTGGACTGACAACCCAGGCGCGCGCGACGTACTGGCGCCCATTCTCATCTATCAAAAAGCGGATCCTGCCACAGAGGCCGAAGTCGAAGAGTGCGCGCTCTATGGTCAGTGTGGACTCCGATCAGTACCCACATATAGTTACGCTGGATGCCGAAACTGGGTACGTGGTTCTCAATCTTCTGCGAGAACCTTATACCCACAATCTTCCTATAGATCGCATGTCAGCATCGTTCCACGATTGGCTTCTTCAATGGCGCTTTCCCTCGACGAAAAAGACGTAGCAGAAGAGTGTGAGGCTGGCGAAAGAGCCGCCGATGCTTGTGTTGCCGCGCGTGCATGTACTTTAGGCGTCTATAGCCATACTACTTGCAATCGACGAGATAAATGATATCGCGCGCCGTGCCATGCCTCCTTCACAATTGAATACACCGGTGCCTTGGGGCACAGTGCCTGTCTTCTTCAACGCCCATCCCCACGGGGATAAGGAAATTGCTTTCGGACTTACGAACAATATCGAAGCTGTATATGCGATGCCGACGCGCCGGGCTTGACGCGTCACTCATCTCACTATCATCTACGACTATCCCGGCGCGGCCGAGCATATTCGCCAGCGTGCTCGTTGACAACGACCTTCTCATATAAGTGAAGGGCGTGTCTCGAGAAGATCATCTCAGAAATCCGTTACGCTCCTCGTCCACCGGCGTACTTCATCGCGACATGTCAGACAGTGCGCTTCCTCCGCCACCCAAGTATGGCTTCGTCTCCGTCATGTGGCCGCCAAAACCCACCTGGACTGCTGCCGACGTTCCTGATCTCTCAGGGAAAGTAGTTTTGGTTACCGGCGGCAATGCTGGCATAGGCAGAGCTGTCAGTAAAGTGAGTACGCGATGCCTTGGTAGCACCCGTCCAAATCTTCTCTGACCCTTACGCTCCTGAGATCCTCGTCGAGCGCGGTGCTCGCGTTTATATCGCGGCACGCGACAGAGCGCGAGGTATAGCCGCTGTAGAGGCGATCCGCACAGAAACCGGTAAAGGCGAAGAAAGCGCGCGCTTCTTGCAACTTGATCTTGCGGACCTGGCTAGTATACGACGTGCGGCCGAGGACTTCCTGGCACAAGAGCGGACTTTGGATATCCTCTTCAACAACGCGTGAGTGAGGTATTCGCGTGAAATGACACTCTCCCCTGATGGTGTTGCGGTAGCGGTATAGGTAGGACTGGGCTTGGACCGCTGACGGCTCAAGGCTACGACGACCAATTCGGCGTCAATGTTCTTGGACACTTCTTCCTTACGAAGTTATTGCTTCCCGCACTCCTCGCGACGGGACACGCTCGAGTAGTGAACGTATCATCGAATGCTCATGACATGAAGAGCTGGAAGGATGGATTGGCATGGGATACTCTGGTACAAGGCGAGACGAACCAGAAGGCGAGGAAGCGAGAGGCTCGGTATCTGTACAGCCAGAGCAAGCTCGGGAACGTGCTGTTCAGCAATGCTCTCGCGCGTAAGTACGGTGAACAAGGCATCGTATCGATATCGCTTCATCCCGGTAAGTTTCACAGTCCGCTTGACACGAAACGCCGCATCTTGACTGTATACAGGAAGCATCAGGTCATCTTTCACCCGACACTTCCCAGCTTTGCTGACATGGATTCTTAATCGCACTATCATGTATGACATCTCTTTTGGTGTCATAACCCCGTTGTACGCCGGTACGAGCGTAGAAGCCGAGAAGATGAACGGCGAGGTCGGTGCCTCGATTCATACATATGAGACTAGAAGCGCGGAACTGACATCAGTCGCCACAGTATTTGACAGCGTGGGCTCGCCGCCAACAGGCAGCAAAGGGCGCGAGAGATGAGAAGCTACAAGACCGGCTATGGGAGTGGTGCGAGGAACAGATCAAAGCCTTCTGAGAGGGGTGAGACCTCTCGCGGAGATTGCGGAAAGGTTTGGATCATCCCTAATGATCGAGGGTGTTATCGCATGACAGGGAAGCATAGATAGTTCGGCGTACTTGGAAGATCGTTCCTGCCATAACGTCTGTATCGCATCCCAATTTCCCCCACACTGTGAATAGAGCTATGAACGAATCAGATCCTGCACGTTAGCTCCTTGACAGACCGGGGCTTACTTGCTCCAGCGTCTGCGTTTGAAGTCGAGCCCGTTCCCATATGCTAGGGCACTGTCCAGAAGCCGCGGCCAGCCATTGCTCCTTGGCTCTTTCATCGTTCTCGGTGATAGAGAAGATGGGACGTCCGCTGCGGCGGGCTTGGATGATACGCATGTGGCAGTCCCAATGCGTGGGAGGTGATCGATAGCTCGCTACCACAAAGACCAACATCTCGAGCGATGTTGTAGGGATATTGAATCCCATCGCTCCACAATAAGGCATCGCTACATGGGTGACATTCGCGCAGAGAAAGACAGGACTCCTCCAGCCGAGCGCGGGACACGTAAGCCGTACGTGGGTGATAGCATCCAATAGAGGCAAATCCAGGTTATATCTGCGATCGTCATCCGTGCGAGGAAGCGGATGGCCGTCCCATAACGCGCGCGAACATAGCGCTAGCTCCGGGACGTCGCCTATCAGGACCGCATGAAGGCCAACGGCGGGCTTCAACGCGCGCGAGAGAACCATAGCGGTGAAGAGGCTATAAGGAACTGAGAGATGTTGGAGGTTGGCCATGTCATGTGCTTGCAAAGCTGGGTTGTGTTGAGCGTGTTGTACACCTTGATCTACCCATACGGTGCGAACGTGTAGCAAGCGTTCGGATATTCGTTCATCAGGAAGCCGGGCCATGAAATCGCGGCTCTGGCGATCAGATACTAGATTGACAACGCGAAGCAGCTTAGGAAGGTAGAGACCATAAGCCCAAGAAGCAACTAAACATATCGATAGTATGGTTTCCCTCGACGTGTCAGATATGATGTCGAAAATATATAGAACGAGCTCGATCGGCAGAGTGGATGTGGATGTGTCATGTATCGCTTGCATATCGTAGTAGACAGCCGCAAAAGTTGGCGCGACCGCTTTAGTCAAGATTCGGGCTACGTAGGCACCCGCTAATCGGTTTGTGTGGGAGGTCCCGTTCCGATTGACGCCGGTACTGTACTGGTGGTGGGCAGGAGCAAACGAGGAGCCGCGACAAGGACAAGCTGATCAGGAATAGGGGCATCAATTGCCACGTGTTCAATCTTCCCAGCCGGCTATCTTCTTTTTCCATACTGCTACCAGCCAGCCTCCACCAGCATCGGTCTGTTCACTGCCGCCAGTCGTCAAAGCGTGAGGTCTGCTTCCTTCCCCAGGGTGCCTTACTGAAAACTCCGATTAGGGGGCTCCCTCCGTTCCAAGATGTCTACTGAACAGTCTGGTACCGAGAATGGTATGTATGTCTATGCATAACCAACACATATACGGGCTCACCACGACTCAGTACTTATTGGAGTCATCGGTGGTAGCGGCCTGTACCATCTTGATAACTTGACGTTTGTGTGAGCAACGGTCAATGTTGGTTTACAACATTGGGTGCTGACTCTCGAGATAGCAAGACCGTCAACCCGGAAACAGTGGGTTCTTTCGATTCTATATGCTTCAGACGGCTCATATCTCTGTAGCCCTGGGGCTTTCCGTCCGCGCCAATCACCATCTGCTCGCTACCTTCTGGGATCAAGGTCGCCTTCGTCGCTCGTCATGGACCGGGCCACACTATCTCGCCTTCCCATGTCCCCGCGCGTGCAAATATCGCGGCGTTCAAGCATCTCGGTGTGAAGGCGATTCTCGCATTCAGCGCCGTCGGCTCTCTGCGCGAGGAGATCCCGCCGGGCATGTTTGCGATCCCTTCCCAGATCATCGATCGCACGAAGGGCATCCGCCCAAGCACGTTCTTCGATGGCTCTGTCGTTGCACACGTCGCATTCGGCGACCCGTTCTCGCGGAAGCTCACTGCATGGCTTGAAGAGCCCGTGCGCAAGGCGCTGGCGGAGGTCGAAGGCCGCCAGGTCGGACTCGCAACTGGCAAATGCATCGTCTGCATGGAAGGTCCCCAGTTCTCTACTCGCGCTGAGAGCGAGATGTACCGTATGTGGGGCGGCGATCTTATCAACATGAGCGTGCTTCCCGAGGCCAAGCTGGCCCGTGAGGCTGAGATCAGGTCGGTCACGCAATCGTTCGACTTTCGGGCGTGTGCTGACGATATGTGTTTCCTGTCCAGTTATGCGCTAATCGCGACGGCCACCGACTACGACTCGTGGCGTCCACATGCAGAGGCCGTGACTGCCGCGGAAGTCTTCAAGACGCTGCAGGCCAATGCAGACGCCTCCCGCCATGTGGCGAGCAAGGTTCTTGAAGCCATGCATGAAGCTGTTTCCCAGGGCGATGTCCTCAGCGAAGAAGCTGGGTCGATGAAGTTCTCTATCATGCCGCGCGCTGAGGCACAGAAGGAGGAAGATCTCGCAAAGCTCCGCTACATCCTCCCAACATACTTCTAAAGAGAGTCGTGGTGCAGGCAAAGTGCCACATAACCTAGAGGTTTAGATAGAAGTTACACTCGTACTCTCTGTATCACATGTACCTGGAAAGTGCTCAACCGTCCGTGTACTATTCAACCCAAATGTATCGAGTATCCGTTCATTACCGCGAGTGTGTACATATGCTTCGGAATAAGGATATGAGAAGGATCCCTTTATTGGTATGCACGCGACCGACGGGTATACAAACCACGAACGCCAAATACAAAAAAGGGATAGAATCGCCACCAGCTCCTCAGTAGAACCGCGGTCTACTCCCGCCAACCTTCTCGACGTGCTGCCGAATGGTATCCAGCCATTCTCCTTCCAGTAAGCGGTCAGGAACCTTCAGATCGCGTATGGGCTTTCCTCGCTCACGCCGCGCGGATACGGCGGCGAGCAACCGGTCTGCCTCCCGTAGAGCTTCCTGACCCATAATGGGTGCCTGCTCCGGCATCTCGATGATGCTGAGCGCCTCGAGAGCCGGAAACATGTTGCCGACGCTCTCGGGATCGCTCTCGTCCGGAGGCGTCATAAGGATGTCAAAGAGAGCGTGGGCGGCAGGTCCGATGACGCGCATCCGCTTCGTGGCGTTCGCTGTCGCGAAACCTTTCCAAGGCATCGGCGCATTCACCTCGTCGTCGTCCATGAACGTAAGATCCTGTACTTCTCGAAAGTCTATCGCTTTCATGAATGCCTCGGCGTGCATCTCGAGACCTGAGACTGTCAATGAGACGTCGTTCAGCGGCGTCGGAGTATTGCCATCCTCTGATGTTGGCCAAACAGAGAAGCTAGCGCTGAAGATGACCTTGTCCTGAGCGTGGTCGAGTTCGAGGTAGATTGAGCGGGGCGGACGCTCAGTTCCGACCTGTCGTTCGAGGACTCGTGCGATGACTTCAGGCTCTGCATCTGAGAAGTCAAAGTCGCGGAAGGTCGTTGGATGCTGGAGGAACTCGGAGAACTGTGCCATTTCGGACGGAAAGCGGCGTGCGGTCAGGGTCAGAGTCTCCAGCGGCTTTGCGAGCACGATTGGTTTGCGCTCCTGGGGAGGGGAGCTTGGTGGGTACGCATCGGTGATGTACAGGTGCTGTAATGCGGGCATGCCCCCGAGAATATCCAGCAGATTCCAGTCGTAGACGGACTCGGGATCGACAACGTCCGAGACCTGTAGGTCAAAGTATGTGAGATGCTCGAGTGGTGCGCTTGGCGTGCCTCGAAAGAGTACCCCAATGACGCAGAGCTCTGCCGCCTTTGGTACGCGATTGACAAGGACGTTAACTGAGAGGGCCAAGAGAAGTCGCGAAGTGTTCTCTATGTGCACGAACTTCATAGATGGAAAGGGATCGTGCGTGAACAACTGGATGGCAAGTGGTGCGGTATTTTCCCCGAAGATTGTCAATGTACGAATGCGGTCGGGTTGAGATCGCATGACATGGTCGGCAAAGCGCAGGACCTCTTCCGACGGCCAGTAAGGGTTCGCGTTCTGTCCAAGACCTAGTTCCACATGAAGCGGCGCAACCTTCGAGCGCTGTACCATTTCGTATGCCCATTTCGGACCTGTATGGCTGAACTTGATCTCTCTCCAAAGACCGGGTGTCGACAGCGCAACCTACACCCAGTCAATGATAACACCCACTATCCAAAGCAAAGGAGGCAGACCTGTCTCCATATATGGCATATATGCTGAGTTGATATGAGTTCTCCCCGAATGACTCTGGTCGCTGAGAGTCAATAGACTTACCGAGAATGTGACCCATCCCATTACCTTAACCGTCCATTCTCCATTCTGTCCACATTCTTTATTGTTGTCTCCCATGTCCTCGTATTCGCCAAAGGATTCCTGTTTCACGAACTCAAATATCGCTGCCAAGATGTGCGACGGAAGTCGCGAGCCAACGGTCCCGTTAGTTGGTCCTAATCGTTGCACGATGGTTCGAAAGGATGGTCGCAGGCTGGGGTCGCGTTGCCAAGCAGACTGAGGCGTGACGTGAGTTCTCAAGATAAAAGGAGGCGTAGACGCTCGATTACCTGAACAACGGCCGATATGGGGTGTTCCTGTGGACATGATGGTGGTAGATCGGGCCTTTGATCGTGCCCTAGTGCAGGATGTATCAGTGTCAGCAACAAAAGCCCCGAGCTTTCGGAGATGGAACATACCACATACAAGACGCCAGACAGCATCATCGTCTAACAAAGGCCAAGGAAGGGCACCGCGACTGAGGATCTCGATGCAGAGGATACCGAAGGCATAGATGTCTATTGCAGGCGTAAGTCGTATAGTGCTGCTCATCATGAGTTCCGGTGATCTCCATCTGAATGAGCCGGCCGCTGAATGATACCTAAGTAGGGTCTCACTTCGTAGGTAGTAGAATCAAGACGAACGGGATCTTGGCAGCCCGTCAAGGCGGTAAGCCTCAGACGTGATCTCGCTCTGTCCAAAGTCTGATATCATGCATCGCGCGCTATCGTCAAGCAGGATGTTCGATGCCTGTCGTCAACACTGGGTCAGTATGTTGGCCAACTGGTGATAGTATATGCAATATTACCTTCAGGTCGCCGTGCAAGACACCTTGTGCATGCAGATAATGCATACCCTCTGCGATCTCGCGCATCATCAAGACGATGTCGTCCAGCGTCCCGGGCGCACTAGTCTTCAGATGATGCACAAGGTTGCCTTGAGCGCAGTAAGGGCTCACAACTGCGATAAGCCATCAGTCTGCGATATTAGTTGATATCCGAGGGTTTGTAACGCACGAAACCAAGGAGGATCTCCGGTCGTAGAACTGGCACCCAGCAGCTTCAGAACATTCGGGTGTTGGAGTCTGATCCAAATATTGATCTCGCGTACAAAAAACTCGCGCGGAGACGCTGCCGTGAGTATCTTGATAGCGACTACTTGACTCTGGAAACGGCCTCTATAAACGTCGCTAGAGAACCCAATCCCGATCTTCTTTTCTATCTCGATTTCGTGACGCGTGATGGTCCAACTGGGGACTTTGAGCTCGTCGCCTTGCTTCAATGTGAGACGCGTGAGCGCTTGAATGCTTTCCCCGATAAATGTTCTGTCGAATGCGTCCAATGTAAAAGAATCAGTGTTAGTAGTCGGCGAGTCCATAGGCAACCTGTTGCGGGATCCCCTGTGTTCGCCAATCCTGAGCGTATGTCGTCTTGAGTGAGGTACGACTACAAGATAATCGTGAGGTAGACATCATGTTTCTTTAGTAACGTTGTGCTCACTCTCAGCGTCATGTTGAAGCACGCGTTGCAGTGTGCGGATGGCCTCTGGCATTTCATCGCGTCCGATCTGTAGCACCTCGATCATCGCTACATCGTCGTGCTGTTGTAAAGCTGCGTCGAGGAGTTGCCGTAGGCCCACAAAGTCGATGTCGCGATCACGCTCGCTCTGAGCTCGTCTGTAGCTAGATAGTACCCATCGAATTTGTACCGAATCTTGCATTCGATCCATCGCGATGGTGGCCGAGAATGACCCGGGAGGGGCAACGGCCGGAGTCACTGATGTGGATGCAGAGGGCGAGTGAGCGACGAAGGATCCCAAGATTTTGGAGTCTTCCTGGCGGCGAAGTTCACTTTGCTGCACAAGCTTGAGCATGCGTATCTGTATCTTAACCTATTGCATTTCTGTGAGACATGTTTTTCGGAAGGATCGCCCTGAGACGTACATTAAACAGAGACAGCGCGTCATCCAAAGATGTATGCCAGTTCGCAATATCACGTTGATTCTCGTCGCGCTTCAGATAACGCTGTAAAAAGGTGCGACGCTTCTGCTTGAGAAGGAACTCATGCACGCCTTGCAACGTTCTGGGCATACAGTGAGCATCATACTTAATGGATCCCACCTATCCTACATGGACATACGAGTGAAGTTTCTTCATGGGTTCGGATAGTTCATTCGCAGCCTCAGAACCAGCGAGACGGATCTCTTCGTGTACGGAGAGAAGTGTCTCGGCACATCGTTCGGTGAGACGCAAGCAAGCTGTCCGATTGATCTGTCAAAATCGATGTCGGCTAAGCAATTGGGAAAGTAGGCATTCATAAGATGGAGGACTGCTGACCTCGATCAACTGAACAGCGTCCCAGATGCTCAATAGTACAGAGCAAGCCGAGCCTAGAGCAGGAACAGGTGCAAATTGAAGAAGATCTGCACCCGTCGCGAGAATATCGTACGCCACGCTCTCAGCAACACCTGCCACTGATGTCGCTGCTTCTTTGACGCGCTGGACGTAACTTGAAATAAGTAACAAAAACCAGGAGCCTTGAATCATGGTTTACAGACCGTCTTCGTACTCTGGTATCCACGGGTGCCTTCGGCCGCCTCCGCCCTCCCCGATGTGAGGAATCCTGTGAAAGAAGGCTGCTCGGACGAATCGGAGGGCATATCCCTTCAGCTATTGCGGTAACAGAGGTAACAGCCACGAGAGGTTGACACGTTATGCTACATGACGATGTGTCAGAGGATTGAGGTAATTTCCAAGCAAGCACGTACGGAAATAGGTTCAGATCGTGGACTTTCGAGCAACCCTATGGCCGGGGTATTTACTGAGCTTGCGTCTTCAGATGACCCTGGGCATCGTATACCCGGAGGGGGGTAGCCGAGTAGCTGGAAAGATGAGAAGTGGAAGCAGGAAGACCAGACAAGTATAGAGGTCAGGTATAGGCTCCATCACCACCTGGCGAAGCCGATAACTCCTTTCGGGCGAAAGGTCCCACCTGACACCAAGGCGTCTATCGTTAGACAGCCACTGACACCGGACTTCTGTATAAGACATGCGTCGCCGCCGGCCTGCGGTGGTATCGACATCGTTTAGGTCAAGTAGTATCAACATAGGCTAAAAACCACTTCGAAGCTCATGGTGGGTCGGGATAAGCGTCGATTGGCGAAGGCTGCACGACCTCAGCGCTTCAGCGCACCCTGGGACATATAGGGCGCCGGACGCGCACACTGCGCTGTCTCGTCATCCCCGCACTTACGTCCTCCAGCCAAGTACCCCCTCCTTCCCTTCATACCCGTCTGCACAACAAGTATTCATGGCGCGCTGTTGATGCGGTGAGAAATTGGTTGGCGAAAACTTGATGGTTCGGAACGCGAGGACGCGCCCACGTGGCTTGCCGCGTGTGCCGCAGAGCGCGTCACGAGCGCGTCCTCGGACATCCTGTTTTTGAAAGCGTTCGCAGAGGCTTCTGCGCGACTCTCGTTGCAATCCAATCTGTGAATGACAGTTATGCCAACGCGAAGAGACGATTTCGACGCTGCTTAACTAGTACCTACAGCAGTGCGAATATATAGTGTGAGCACTGTCGTCCGACGCAAGTACCATCTTGATGTTGTGCCACAATGAGATCCTGTGACTGCCCATAAACCTGCGCGCTCGGTGACAAGAATGCCATCCCAGCTACGTTCACAGCGATACTCTCGCTTTGGTTGTATGAAGTACATCGTACTGGTGTCTTCACCTATAGAGCCACACAAAGCCGTCGGTAGTCAAAGGAGTCGGACGGAGACTGCCGTATGACGCGAATACTACCGAGAAAGTTGGTACAAGTTTTGTGTCAATCGTGCGCACCGAATCGTACGTCGTGCATCATGGAATACATAGATCCTAGCGTGTTCACCATACATATCCAGTCTACTATCATGTAACATACCCGGTCCGTTCAGAAACATCCCGGCCGCCCCTTAGTCGCAGAATCCTACGCACCATTCACACCACCCCCAGGACTTGCGCCATTGACCATGCCATTCACACCCAGAGTCGAGCTGCTCGCACTCCCGACGCTGAATGGACTCCAGTTCCTAAACCCCATCCCTCCACCACCGCCCGCACCAGCGCCCAAAACCTGCCTCATCAACAACTGAACCCTTTCCCTCTCCTCCTCAGCCCTCCCCATCTCCTCCGCCCACCTGGCCTCTCTGACCCTATACATCTCGCCCAACGCCGCCAAGCTCCCCAAAGCAGTCTCGAGCAACTGCGTCATCTCGGGTGCGGAAGGTGTGCCGGCGCGAGAAGAGGCGGAGAGGGTTTCCCAGAGTGATGGGAGGGCGGCGGAGGGAGCACGTTCGGCTGCGAGAAGGCTGAAGGAGCGACGGACAGAAGCCATGTGGGATGAAGCTGTTGGTGAGGAGCGCGTGCGTCGGAGAGCGCGGGATGTGTGAGCGTGCAGTTTGGATGTGTGGGCCGGGGCGGCGAGGAGGACCATGGGCGTATCCGTTTCCCGATCGAGCTCGTTGAACTGTACACGGATATCAGCAACTCGCGTGAGATTAAAAGAGGGAATGGATACGCACGGCACGAACGAGAGCATCCCACCTCGCCTCGAACCTCCTTCTCCTCTTCTCCGGCTGTCCAATAAACTCCGGATGGAATTCAATTCCCAATAGATCCTCCGTATCATCATCACTGACATCCACCCATTCATCCTCTCCGGTGCCCGATCCAGGCGCATATGCCGTACTCTCGCCCGTACTCTCCGGTCGATCACTCTCACTCGTCATGACACCCTTCCCCTTGCCCTCGACGCCATCATCGACCTCATCCTCGTGCTCCTCATCCGACATGCGTCCGACATGCGACTCCAGTGCGGTTTCCTCCCCGCTCGAGCTTGAAGGCTCAGGGCTTGTGTCCCTAGGCTGCGTACTCGCCGGCCTCAGATTCCTCTTCGCCTTCCCCTTTGTCGCCCCATTCGCCTGTGGCCTCAAGCTACTCCCCCTCCGAACCCTCGCAGCACCTCTCCCCGTCGGCATCAGAGGCAACTGAACAGGCTCATGGCTCGGACTACTCCGGATACTCGCATCGCTCGCCAGCGCGTGCCGCCGTGGAGGCGGATGTAGAGGATGTGCGCCATAGACGCGCGAAGTCTGGAGGTACGCCCAAGGATTATGTCCAGGCGGGTATGGCCACGGCGCCGGACTGGCACGAGGGCTGAGGGTGCTAACACTCTCCAAACCCCCATTATTCGCCGCATACGTCCTCATCTGCGCCGCCAATTGTTCTTGAACTGCAGCGGCATCCATACTATCCAATGTCCCCGTCCCAGCGTAGCCTGCAGAGGGACCTGCACCACGAGGGATATGTCCGAAAGGGAAAGGATAAGGGCTGCCCGTGGGCATTGGCGCCGGGGAGTACGCTTGACGCAGGGCCGCTACGCGAGCGGCATTCATCTGGAGGTGTGCTGGGAGAGGGCTCGGCGCGGCGGATGTAGGCGGGATCGGGGCGCCCGGGCGAGAGTTTGTGCTGACAGGCGAGTTCGAGAACGCGCCGGTATAGTACGCCATTTCCGGATCGTCGAATAGGTGGCTCCACCGTGGATCTTCTGAGGGATGCGCGAACATATACTCGCTCGTTTGTCCGTATTCGCTAGATGGTGGAAGGCCGAACGCGCTCGAGGCTGCGCTGTCGAGACGGCGGCGAGGATGGTGCCGCGCGTTGAGCATGGCGGCTATGGCTTGAGACTGGTGCATCGGTAACGAATTCACCGGGGAGCGGGGTGTGTGACTATCTTCACCCGCACTACGGTCCTCGCCATCAATCTGCTGCGGTTGCTGTTGGGCGCCTTGACTGATCTGCTGAGCATCCTTACGCCTGAGCGCATCAGGAAGAATGTCGCTCGACGGCACAGGCGACGGTGTACGCCCCGCCGGCCACCGCTCAGCGAGGATATGATCCTGCTCCGCATCGTCCTCATGCACCGGCAACTCAGGCGTGCCTTGACCTTGTTGTCCCTGTCCTTGTTGTCCCTGACCTGATCCCGAACGAGAATCCTTGTTCCCTTTCTGGATCGGATCTTTACCGCCCGAATCGGTGCGCTTCTGAGAAGCTGCATCCGGAAGCTTTGCGGGGGCGGTCGCTACGGGCGAAGGGACATAGGCTGGCGCTGCCTTGCGCGTCGTAGTCTGTACGGGAGGCGGTGTAGCGGGCGAACGACCTGCGGGTGGAAGAGGGATGTAGGCTTCGCGATCGTACTGCAGATACTGCTGCTCGTAGGCTTGTTGCTGGGCATAACGTCCCATCTCGTACTCGTATGCTTGCTGCTGCTGCTGATCGTATCCCTGCTGAGCTTGGTCGCGCGTACTCCCGCGACGCGTAAGCTCCGGCGCTCGTTCTCTCTCCCCGGAGGTACCAGCGACATTGACAGAGCTAGAGCTCGCACCGCCAGAATAGGCTATCCCACCGAGACCAGCGGCGAGATTAGGTGTGATGTCAGACGCAGCAGCATGGACGAGCCCTTGTGCCCTCAGTTCGAGTTCAGCCATGATATCAGGGTGCATAGCGAATGCCTCGGGGCCAGGCGGCATGAAAGCGTTGTAAAGCGGCGCAGAGTGTCGGTGCGGGTTGCGCGGCGCGGTGGTCGATGACACTTGCTGGATATTCGGCTGCGACAGCGCGTGTTGCGGAGGCGGGGGGCGCTCTGTCGATCCCGGCGGCGGCGTAGGTTTGGATGGGAAGGCCTGCTGGGATGCCGGCGGCGAGGAAGCGGCGGCAGCGTTGGCGGTGGCGTAGGCCTGCATCGACTGCGCGCGTACCGTCCGATTACGGTCGAACGCCGGCGACGTTCCGCGCGACGATGGGCTACCTGTTATAGATATATGACAATCAGTCTCGATGTTCTTGACATTGTATGAGGATAGTCGAAAGCCATTGCGAGTTCATCGCGGAAGGTAATGTGCGAGACGTCATCGTCACCGCGAACGGGACCTAAAATTTCCTTGTTCGATCGAGCAGACGCGTTGCTCACCTTGATGCTGTTGTTGTTGCTGTTGTTGCTGTTGTTGAGATGCGGGCACAGGCATGGGAGCTCTAGCGCCCGGACTGGACGAGCTTGCGGGCGGCATCGCGGACTGGGACATGGTGGTGGTGAGAGCGAACAAAGTCGAACGGACACGCGCGCGCTACCTCGTATTATTTCTCAAAGGATCGGGCCTGCGCCCGGGAGACAAGAACGCGAGGATGCGGCGAGGCAGGTCGGAAGCGGCGCTGGGAAGAAACAAGCCCCAGGCCGCTTTTGGTCAACTCTGCCTCATTCCTTGATGGCAAGGCCTCGTGTACGCCTCGCCCACGCGAGCGCCGCGAGGAGTCATCTATCGCCTCTATCTGTGTGTATATCCCTTTTGTGGAGGGGGCTTCGACGCGACTACGCTCCGAATACTCGTTGGCAGGCTGCACGGATGGTCGCGGTCAGGAAACAAAAGCGTGAGCAAACCGTGCCGCTGGCGAACGGAATCGAAGCGACCGGCATCTCCCGAGCGCCTGCGTCATCGAAATTTCCTCCATTTCTTTCGTCGTGCCCACCATCTCCCCGGTGTCCCCGGCTCGCCGGTTCTCGATTCGTATCTGCATTGACCAGAGAAGGTCACTTGTACTCCATCAACCCTATCGTGAGCCGCGAAGGAACCGCTTCTTCCGATATCAGGCCCCCGTTCATCTCCCGAGCCCCTGTCTCCTCTTCGAATATTCCACGCAGATACAGAGTTCATCTCTATTCAATCTCCCCACTGCTAAGCTCGTGTAATCTTCATAGTATCTTTGTATTGCGTGGACGTGTTAATTGTCGTTCATAAATTTTCCGGCGGTACGTAGAGCGACTGTTCATCTCGGACTTTCCGACGTCGGGATACTAGGTGCTGCATTGTATTGCTCTTCCTATGATACATTCTCTAGCGTCTACAAGCGCGAGATGGTATCATCCGCCGCTATACGGACCTCGCGGAGCCCAACTCTATGAAAGTGGTCCTCTCCGGCGCACATCTTGCGTTATACCATGAAACCGATTAACCGTGACTGTGTACATTCGGGCCGGCGGTGCAGCGCTATCATTCTGACCCCCCAACTCTCTTCTACATCGAGCCTTGAAAACGCTTTCTGTGGGCGAGACTACGACGGTCGTTTGACCTCCGCGGCACATGAGCTCTTCTGAGCGTCTATTCCAGCTTCGAACGATCAAGCGGCTCTGCACCGCCCACTGTCTGATCTTTCTTCGTACAGTGGTCTGCTTCTAAAGACTGTGCTTCGTCTTCTAGACCTCAGGCTTTGAAAGTGTACAGTGTCTAACTGAATATGCCCAAGCGCCACAGACCTATTTGCACGGACCTCGAAACTATCGACCGTGGCATCACGAGAAATCTCCCGACTTTGCACAGGCGAATAGATGACACCGGGCGTCCTCTTTCCTCATTCGTTCACGCGCTATACAGTATCCCTCATCATGCGACTTGGTGCTATCAGCACATGAGAGGCAGGTGTGTGGAGATCTTCTGGCGTCTCATGTCTGGGCGTTGACTTTCTATTCGTGGATAGCCAAACACCTCTCGAACCTCGATCACGGCAGGCGCTGTCTGCGTCTGTCTGCACCCGGTAGCAAGGTGATGCGCAACATTACCGCCATATGATCATCATTGAGGTACCGAGTAGAAGATACGACCTCGAACCTACGCTATTGAATCAAGCGGCGCGGTACTAGCATCCCCATCTTCGGTCCCAAAGCGCGAAAGGATACTTTCATTGACTCGCGCCTGCAGCGCCGTAGGCAAGTGCATCTCAAAGTCAATTCCAAACTTCGAAACATGATGGATTGCGTGGAAGAACGCAAGGTGCGTGACGGTACCTTCCGTCGTGACGAAGCCGTATTCCCGACTGGGCCTCACATGGAACGCCTAAAGCTTGGGCGCGATAATCGGGCGGATATATAGTGCGCACGGTGTCTGCATGTTAGTCATGCTCCAGGCTCCGGCGGAGACAGACGAGAGAAAAGTACGTTAGGTAGCATGTCCTCCGTGAGATGCAGAGTGCGCAAGTTGGGAAAGTTCACGAAGAAACGCATGAGATCGTCTTTGTCATATTCGCGCGCGCAATCGAGGGACAGGTCGTAAAAGAACTCGCACGTGGGGAAGGTAGCTTCGAAAGCCATCGCGCTCTTGGGATAGATGATGAATAGGAAGTCCTGTGGAGGATGAGCCTCATCGACGTTGTGGACGGCAGTAATCGCTCCTCGTCTCAACTCCTGAGGAGTTGAGACGATGATGATGACCAGAAGAGACGCGAGCGCCATCTTCAGCCTGAGATGCCAGCATGATGCGTAAGATGAGTTCGTCTGAAAGCATCACGAAGCCGTTCTCCCGATTGCGGAGCTCCTTTGCTCTGAGTACTACTGCTTCCAAGCTCTTGATCTCCCGAATAAGTCGGTGTCGGTTCTCGGTGCGGGTCGACTCAGGGAGACAGATGCGCCAGTTCAGACCAAGGGTCGCTCATTTGAGTACGCAGAGAATAAAATGGAGTACGCATGTGAGCTGGTGGGTGTCAACAAATAAGCGTATTCAAACGTCGGAAGCAATCAAGGAATAAACGCGGTCACGTTTTAGGACGAAAGATGGGAGCCGCTCCTACCATTTTTGGGCGACGCGTCGCGGCGCGCGCCCGGCGTCTTGGTCTCTGCCCATCATCTGCACGCGTCTACACCTGCTTCGCGCCACGCTCGGCTTTACCCATAGCCCACGCACGTGCTGAGAAAGCGCCTATCTACCCTGCACACTATTACGTCTCGCTATCGCATCGACAACGACCATCTCGCCGGAGGCTACTGGTGGCCGTGAAGGGAACGCTCATCCTCTGTAACAGCCATGACCACTTCAACCCAGAACAGACACATTCACGACTCGATCCACGGTGCAGGTGTGCCTCTTTCTCACTGGTAAAGTTGAGATTCTCGGTGTGCTCACTGTCGTGCAGTGGAGTTCGGGCCGCACGTTTGGAGGATTGTCGATACGTGAGCTGCCCCATTATCGCATAATTTACCGCGTATCTCTGATTCATAGATCAGCAAACACTTTCAAAGGCTGAGGCATATCAAACAGCTTGGGACAAGCTACTATGTCTGGCCAGGTGCTGCCCATAACCGCTTCGAGCACTCGCTCGGTACGTCTTTCCTGCGCACATCATGTGGCGCTTCATGGCTATACATCTACACTGCTCATCGTTCAGCACAGGAACTGCCTACCTCTCGCGCCAAATTATAACAGCCATTCGTAACCGGCAACCTGAGCTCAAGATTACAGACCGCGACGTGCGCTGTGTCGAACTAGCAGGTCTCTGCCATGACCTAGGACATGGACCGTGGAGTCACGTGTGGGATTCCATGTACATCCCACGTGCATTGTGCGTATGTACCTCTGAAAGGGCGGTGTATGATCTAACAGGGTACCGTAGGAAGGGGAGTAACTGGGCTCATGAGCAAGCGAGTGAGATGATGTTCGACGACATGGTCAGCGAGTACAAACTCCACGACGTCGTCCCTCCCGAGGACGTCAAATTCATCAAAGCACTGATTGCTGGAGAGCGCGAGCGCTGTATGTGCGTAGGTTCTCCTCCATTCTGTCGTCCACTTTTTCGGCCAGACTTCTCATTCCATGCTAGGGAAGAGAAAAGCTTCCTGTTTGAGATAGTTGCGAACAAACGCAACGGCATCGACGTGGACAAGTTTGACTACATGGCCCGAGACGTGCGTGCGACGGGTGATAGCTCCAACCTTTCCTTGAACCGGTATGCCTCTCCACATGTGACTCTGCATCCAGGTGCTGACTCCCCTAGCGTGATTCAGACGTCGGCACGGGTCATCGACGGAGAGATCTGCTACAACATCAAAGACGCCGACCAGATCTACGAGCTGTGTCATACGCGTTTCAAGCTGCACAAGACTATCTACAACCACAAGACAGGTAGAACTAGTACATACACCATGGCCCTCTAGACTGAATTAGCGCTATAGCGAAGGCTATCGAGCATATGCTCATCGACGCAGTCATGGCTGCTGAACCCTACTTGAAGATCGCCGAGCAAATCTCGGATCCAAAGAGGTACCTTCATCTGACGGACAACATCATGCCACGTATTCAGGAGAGCACAGAAGACGTATGCCTGGAGTATCTTTCACTCGAGCTGCTCTTCATTGATTGCGCATCAGGAACTCGCTGAAGCTCGTCGCATCTTCGATCGCGTCACGAATCGGGACCTCTACCGCTGCGTGGACTACAAAGTCTTCTCCTACGACGAACGACCCGTCCTCCAGCAGGAGGTTACTGAAGTACGCGCATGCTACTATCCAAGTCGACATCCTCTAACTATACGCGCATGCAGGAAGCCGTTGTCCGCGCAGCCAAATCCTTAAAACCCGGCAAATTCCGCTTCCCCGCCGGAACCGACAGCAACTTCCCCGGCTTCGGCTCTATCGACGACGACCAGGACGACCTCGACGATGCTCCCGCCCTCATCGACGCCGAACGCCTAGCAGCGCTGCGACCATGCGACGTGGTTGTCACGATGAGCACGATGCACTACGGCATGAAGAACGAGAACCCGCTCAACAAGATCTCGTTTTACTCGAAACGGCACCCGAATCGGTCGGCACATGCAACGTCGGGAGATCTCAGCACGCTTCAGCCTGCTAGCTTTGCGGAAGTCCTGCTACGCGTGTATGCCAAGGATGCGCGGGACGCTCTAATCGTTCAGGCCGGGTACAGAGTGCTCATGCAACAAGTCTGGGCGCGCCACCCGCGCGATGCATCCGGTGTACTGTCCCCGACATTGGAGTCCCAACCTTCCTTCTCCGGCTCGTCCGACGTATCCGGCCCAGACGCTGCGCCGCCGCCAACGCAACCATTGACCGACACTGCGCGTCCGCACAAGCGCACCTTCAGCAAGTCGCGCAGTTTCGGAGGCGCCGACGAGCCGGACGATCTATTTAACCAGTTCAATACGCTCGCGCCTGCTTTGAAAGGCCCGGCACGAGCTTCGCCTGGCCGGTCTACTGCTGCGAGACCGCGTCCTAACCTGTCGATGGGCGAGGATGATTGGTCTGCTGCCATGGGGTCTGGGTCTGGAGGGCGTGGTGATGGATCGCCGGAGAGGCAGCCTGCGCCGGTGTTTCCCGCGCTACTCAGTACGGGGTCCCCTAAGCGCCCAAGGGAAGGTGAAGAGCTGTTGGACCCGGCGAAGAAACCGCGGTCGTAGAAGATACGTCTCAGCGAACTCTACTCTAAACATGTTTTCTGTCGCATACGCATTGTTCTATCCGCATAGCTTCTTGGGACCCTTTTGAGAAGGAATCTGATGTACATGTTCGCGTCAATGCCAGTGAGAGCAGTAGTAGTGATTATGAAAAGTGTATAGTAAACAGTGAAGCTGAACAGCGATATCCAAAAGCCATTACAACGCGAGAATATAGTATCATCAAACTCAGAAATCCCACTGCCCATCTCCTTCCCTCAGTTCTCCAACCCCATTCTCCTCAACCCTCCTCCTCTCCCTCCTCTCCCTCAACTTCGCCGCCTTCCAAGCCCTAACGACTCTCCCCACTTCCCCATCAGCCCCACCCGGCCTAAACGGCGGCGGCACCATGTCCCTCCTAGCCGCCTCTCCCTCCTCCCTCGCCACATCCCGCGTAAGCCCCTCCAACCCCGGCTTAGGCTCCATCCCGCAGAACAACGCTTCGTCAACAAGCTTCTCCAACGGCCCGACTTCCCACCTGGATCCTTTGCCCATCCTCTGTGCGCCCTGCACCATATCGAACGTCGGAACGCTCCGCCGATCTCTAGGTGTTCCTTTCGGGAAGGTGAGGTCGTAGAGGCGGGACATCAATTGATAGTCGTTAAGCTTCGTAGCGTCTGTACCGAGGAACCGTGTCGACCAGCGCGAGGAGACGGGTCCCGCAACATACTTCGCACGAGCGGTATCACGCCGGATGTGTACGGTGAGTTCGCGGAAGACGACGTTGCACGTCGTATGGCTAGGCCGCATATGGAGTTCTTGAAACGCGTGCAGGACACCGAGTACACCGGGAAAATCGCCTATGCGGAGGAACGCGCGTAGAGCTATGCGCGCGCTGTCTCTGGTGATCACGGATATGGGCGGCAGCCCTTGTCCGGGGGACCCTTTGCGGTGACTGCGCATACCGCGGGTGATGCGGTCGTGGAGATCCATCATCTCTCTGAAGAGGACGCGTGGGGCGCGGATTCCTTCTTGGGGCGGCGAAGGGAGGAAGAGGTGGCGCGGATTCGGGCGAGGATGGGTGTGTGGACGAGGTTGTGGTAGTTCGGCGGCTTTGAAGAGACTGGCGTATGTGACGCTTGTGGGCGTGAGACGCGGGTTTGACTGGGACGAGCGTAGCATGGCGTCGTAGAGAGCGTGCGCGCGGGCGATGTCCTTGGCGCGGACCGAGGCGGTGATGAGAACCGTGAAGAATTGGGCATCGGGCTCGATGCCACGGGAGGACATTGTGGCGAGAGCGGCGCTGATGTGTGAGCGGTTGAAGGCGCCCAAGCGTGCGACTTCGGCGAGAAAGGTTGTGATGGTCTCCAAAGTCGATGCGCCCCGTTCAAGCGCGGTGTCCAGCTCGTGCGTCTCGCCCGACGTCGGCGAGGAAGCGTCATCAAGGCGACGGACGATCTCGTCGAAGGAGACCTTAGAGGAAGGATCGTTCTGGTTGTGATGGACGTCGTTCTCGACTGTCGCTTGCAGTTCCGCGAAGCGCCCGACGAGATCGGCCATCCTATTCAGCCCAGCTTGATCGACGTGCCCACCCTCAAACCCAAAACGAGCTTCCACAGCCTTATGCACGAGGCGCTGACCGAGCGTGTTGATGCTAATGTCTTCACTGGTGGGATCCATGTCGAGCAGCTCGGCGAAGCTGCGCAACTGTGGCTCGAGAACGCCTATAGACCCGACGGCGGGTTCACTATATGCGTCTCGAGAGGCAACGTCAGCCTGCACCGACCCCGGCCCATCGCCCTTTGAGCATGTATCCGACAGGTCGGCGGGCGACCCGGCAGGCTGAACACGCCCCGCCACAGTGCAGGTATCATCGCCATCTTCCAGGGTCCGGGCCGGAACATCCGACGGTCCATCATCAGGTGCTCGCGCCTCCTCCCTTCCAGCAGCGTTCTCCGTCGAAGGCTTGGCAGCAAAGAGCGGTACCATCCTCATATACTGCTCCTGCCGCGAAATGAGATCATTGAGCTCCGCCTCGCTCATACGCTCGAAGTCCGCGCGGGAGAAAGCCGTGAGTCTCTCGCCTATCTTCCGAAACCTTGCTCGCTCGGATTTGGATGGTTTTGCACCTGATCCTCGCTGAGCCACTGAGGAGACTAGGAGCGACATGCGCGCGCCCTCGGCAATAAGGTCGAGTTGGACCTCGGATAGCTCTGGCGCGTGCGTGTCCTCTCCATCGGGCCGCACGAGTTCTTCAAGCCTGAACGTGACCGGCTCGAGAGGTCCTTTGCCCTTAGAACGCTCCTCGTACAGTTCTCGCAGATGACGCGCATGCTGTGCCTCAGCAAGATTTTGCTCAAGATGCGATGTGCGCTGTAAAGCAAGCATAGCGCGCGCCGCCCAAGGCATGGACGTATCATTGGTACCGCGCATGAGCGCTCCGGCGCCAGGGAACGGCTTGATCGATTGTCTGAATCCCGCCTCCGACTCTGACGCGAGCACGCTGGAGGTGAGACGCGCAATTTGTATGCCCAACCGACGCGAGAGGCTTTTGTTGCCGTGGATACGCGCATATTCTCCTGCGAGAGCGACGCATAGTTTGGCGCCGGCATCACGAACGCGAGAGAGTCGGTCTAGAACGCGGGCGAGGTCGTCGGCGCTTATGTCCTGGAGCAGAGGTCGCGCTTGACGTAGGATGTCGCGGTGTGCCCGTATGCTCCAATCGAACCCTTTTCTACGAGATGTAGGGGTGGGACGTGTGAGCTTGGCGAGGCACAGCAGCATCAGGCCGTAGCGGGGTCCATGGCTCGCGCTCACGTCCGCCCAAGTATCGTCCAATAGTGCGCGTTGCAGGGCGCGTGCTTCCGCCTCTGCACCGTTCTTGAGAAAAGCGTCAAGGGCCTTTAAGACGATTCTGAGCTTGGCGGGATTCGTGGATAGACTTTGCCTGCTCGAATTGGATAGGACGTAGTGACATGCTTTGGCGCATTGGCCGCGCGAGATCAGGCGCTCGACGCGGCGGATGGTAATGGGATGGTCGGTGAACTGTGGGCCTTTTGTATTGATTCTGGGGCCAGGGTCGTTGTCTGGAACTCGTGCTACTTCGACTGATGCCGGCGAGGGGGCGAGGGACGCGAAAGGGCGTGTAGAGCGAGGAAGGGCATAATGACGGGCAGACTGCGAGAGAGTGGTGACGGTTCTTGTCGTCAGACTGCGAGTCACAGTTTGCATATAGCAGTTGTGCTGGTTTGTGCTTTCAGTTCATAGTACGTAGCTGAGAACAAACTAGAGATACGCACGCAACGTTTATGAAAGGACCTCCCCAATCCAAAGCAGCACCACAGCGCTCAGAAGCATACAATAGCTCTGTATGATGCGCGAAGGTGCATACGCTGCGTGTAATGCCCTTCGCAGGAGAGGATTGACGGTAACGGCAAATGGGAGGAGGAAGCAAGCCGCACGCTGGCAGTGGCGCGCTCGGCCGTGCGGGCCGACCACCACCTGCATCCGCTAGCTTCTCTAAGTTCTCATTGAACGACCATGATATGGATGGCTGGCACCTTCATCATGCGCCCGCGGAAAGACGGCGAGCCGCGTGCCTAAGCTAAGAGGACTATGATGCTTCTTCGTACCCGCTTCGCAGGCCAATGACGTGCGATAAGCTCCTTGAAGCAGGGTATCTGAGTACCGCTCTCTACCCCATCTTGGTCTTCCCATTGACATGCCCGCCGTCCAGCCACCAGCCAAAGTCCTCGTCACAGGCGCGAACGGCTACATCGCCGCCTGGCTCGTGCGCCTCTTGCTCGAAGACGGGTACAGCGTGCGCGGGACCGTGCGCAGCGCGGCCAAAGGCGTGTTCCTGGAGAAGCTGTTTGCGGAGTATGGAGATAAGTTTGAGATTGCTGTGGTTGAGGATATCACGAAGGTGCGCTCTGTGCGGTAGTAGCGCAGAATGAGACGTTCATGTAGAATTGGTTGCAGGAAGGCGCGTTCGACGAGGCGGTTAAGGGCGTGGATGTTGTGCAACATACGGCCTCGCCGTTCCACTTCAGTATGTTCTCCTAGGACCTCACGTAGATCATGAGCAGCATCACTGACGGTATGGACTTGTAGACTTCTCGCATCCCGATGGTAAGTCGCGCTTCACGACGATTCATCAACTCGCACGGTATCTCACGCCCGCACAGAGCTCATCAAACCCGCCGTACACGGCACAACCGGCGTCCTGAACTCAATCAAGGAGAACGCGTACGTCTTCCTCCCTCCCTTCACCTTCATCTCCATGCACACCCTCACAATACGCCCCAACACAGCCCGAACGTCAAACGCGTCATAGTCCTCGCCTCTTGCGCATCCGTCCTAACGTCCACGACCGACCCCGCGATCTACGACGAATCATCCTGGAACGAGCCCGCCGTAGCCGAAGCGGCTGCGAAAGGCGGCAACACGCCCCTCATGATCGCTTATCGGGCCAGCAAGACGCTCGCTGAGAAGGCGGCGTGGAAGTTCGTGGAGGATGATAAGGGAAGCATCGGGTGGGACTTGACGGTTGTGAATCCGCCGTTCGTCTGGGGTGTATGTCCCTCCGCTCATCTGTGCTTGGTCTTGGACACGGATATTGACGCGTTCGTTCGTGTAGCCTCCGATTCACGAAGTGACGTCCCTCTCGAACCTCAACACGTCCATGCTCGATCTGTACAACACCCTCACAGGCAAGAAATCGTCCGAAGTGCTCACGGGTCCAGGAAACGCATACGTCGACGTACGCGACGTCGCGCGCGCGCATGTTCTCGTGATGCAGAAGCCCGATGCGGGCGGCCAGCGTATCATCGTCTCCGCGGGGTCTCATTTCTGGCAAGAGCTCGGTGCGTGATGTCTCTCGTTGATTAGATGACTGGGGAGTCTGACCGAGCGATTTCTGCAGTTGATGTGGCTAACGAGGTGGACCCGTCGTTGCCATTTAAAGGAGAGGCGGGTGCGACGAAGGGGAAACCATACGTTATACAGTACAACACGGAGAAGATGAAGCGCGTGTTGGGGCTTGAGTGTCGGTCGTTGAAGAATACGATCAAAGATTGCATGGAGTACTTCGACGGGCTGGAGGGCGCCGCCTTGAAGTAGCGGGTGCTAATTTGTGTATCAGCGCCAATACATGTACTGTGCATCAAGCGCGACCGAACATGTCATTGTCATTCGTCTCGTAGTTGTTCTAATACAGCTTGATGGATAGCCTCAACCTTTTTGACATCTTTCGGGACGCGCTTCATACGCTCCAGCAACGTATTCTCAATCGCCTCCCACAGCGCTTCTTCGGGATCATACGGCCCATCATGATCCTTATCTTTCAATGCGAGAAAGTCTTCGCCAATTTTCTCTAGCCTTTGCAACGCAGGGCCACACGCAGGGTCGCTGAAGAGCCTGATGAGTAGGAGCGGAGTAAGTACTGAGAAAGGATGGATATACTGACTCGGGTGATAGGTTCGCATCCCGTTCCATCCAGTCCATCCTGCGACGAAAGAATATTGCGTAGGATTTAGCTATGCTGCTGACAGTTTCCTCCTCGAGCACGTTCCAGAACGGCTCTGGTTCTCCGCGCGCTGGTCCATCGTAATGTCCCGGAAGACACATTCGCGTGGCGACGACAACATCAGATGCAGGCCTCCTGGTTACGGCATCGTATAATATCTGGATATCAACCCCTTGTTAGCTCATCCGCGCGTTACAGTTCCCTCAACTCACGTAGCGAATGATACCGGTGATAACCACATCAAAGCTCTTCTCCACTCTCGGCCTCCGCTCAACGATACCCACCAGAGTCGACCGCTCAATCTCATGTAGCAGACCCTCTCTCTCTTTGCTACTACAAAACTCCAGCACCTTCTGCGCGTTATCCGCCACGAGCCTGCACAAATGGAGGCCGCGCGCGAGGTGGTTGAGCAAGGCGCGGCCGAAGATGCTGAAGTCCGCGTGTGGCTGTTTGCGGATGAGCAGGACCTGGTCGCGGATGTAGGTGAGTTCGGCGCTGAGAGCGTCGGACATGGTGTGGGTGTGGTTGAGCGACGTGATGGGGGGAGGCAAGCAGATGCGGGTGCCACACGCGGCTTTGCGGGCTACTCTGCGGACGCGTCCCGTCACTTGTGACATAACGCGCGAGTACCGCAAGAAACTCGGGCCCTCGTGGCCTCATGGTCGACGACCGTTGCCCGCCACGAAATGAGAGGAAATCAATGATCTCGACTTCTCATCTGCAAACAGGCTAGCCGCCGGCGGAAGCGATGCGGTTGTGTTTCAAGGGAAGTGCTATTGGAAACGGTGCCGGCGGATATGATGGCACCTGGACACTGGTAGGGACGGTAACTTGAACTGACAACTTGAATAGTGGTATTCCTATGCAAAAGTAAGAACAATATCTCTAGAGAAGGATACATGGCGGGTATATACGACAGTCTCATTCTTCCTCCGAGTCGCAGGACCAATTCAAGGTCTCTACAGATTCCTCCCGCTCGTATTCCGCCAACTCCGTATCGAAGTGTTCGACCGTCGGTACGACGTCCCGCAATTCTCCGATGAATGCGTCCCAGTCTGGGAGCTCGACGAAGTTCTGGAGATACAGGATTCTTGGGCTAGCAGGTGTGTCGCACCTGGCGCAGATATCGCGGCGAGCCTTCAGCGTATTCACTAGGGGTGATCGCATATTCGTCGAATACCTGTGCTTATCTTCGTCGTACTCGCCCGCTGGGGTATCGTCGATCCAAAGAAGCTGCAAGCGTGGCAGGTAGATTGGAATACGGCTGGCAAAACCTTCCACCTCGCCGATACGCTGTCGGCCAAGAACCTCGATGGGATCGATATTTCGTGCGGCCAAGCGAAGGGTGTGCACATTAGGCAGAGCTGGGTACACAGCCTCCCAAGGAACATTCCTGGCACGGGATATGTGCAGCACTGTGATGAACTCGAAGTGTAACTTCCGAGGGGACGCGATGTCCTTGAATACGCTAGTCATTCCGCGTCTGGAGCCATACCCCCAGTAGTCGATCCGCGCTTGATAGAGAGCACCACGTAGATCCACATGCTTCCAGACGACGTCTTCAGTGCTCGGAGGTTTGTCGTGTGTCAGAAGGTGCATCTCCGTTGCAGTCTCGTCGAATGAGAGGATGTTGGGGCGTTGTTCAACTTCTCTGCTCATGATTGTTCGTGAACAGAGCTCGATTGCCGAATATAGGTCGGGTGCCAGCAGCGTTTCCCTGAAGGCTTCTGAGGTCTCCGAAAAGAACTCGTGGGGGAAAAGCTTGAACTTTGCATGTGCGGGAAAGTCCAGGTGTTTCGCGAGCCACCCAATGATGGGCCCGTTTCCAAGATAGTCGCAGCGGGCTACACAAAGCAGCTGCAGCCGTGTGAGCTTGATCTTGGTTACTTGCGTCATATCCAAAGGAAGGAAGTAACAGTCAACGAGCTCGATGTAGGTGATCCGAGGGCTCGAGGAGAGCACGTCTAAGAATTGCTGTGAGCCGATGGTCATGGACGCGAGACCAAGTTTCTCCAATTGTGGCATCACGAACGAGACGTGGAAGCCACTCAGCGTCAGAGCTCGTATGCTGGGCAAGAGCTGAGGGTCTGTCTGCGCCGGTTCGGGCCACGTTCCTATCGGTTTATTCGTGTGGACATGTAGGCGTTCTAGAGCTTCGAGGCTTGCTGTGGTATTCACGAGGAAGTCTCTATGGAAGTACTCCGCGTCCGACATGACGAAGAAATGCCATCTCATGGACCTTACTCGGTGCAAGGGAAGACGAGAAACCAGTTCCTCGCATGAAGGGACACGTAGTCCAGGGCCAAGAGTACTTTTGAAGTCCAAAGGCGTGTGGGATCCTGAGCGCTTTAGGAAGGCCATCATAGCGTTAGGTAGGATGCCGACATGCCGCGCCCATAGATCGTGCGCGTCGAGCAGAGTATCGCGCCACGATCTGCATACATGCGACAACAGTGCCCAGCCAAGGCTTCCTTCGGTGTATCTTTCGATTGGAGGTTGACGGCGTTCAGGGGGGCGAATGGGCCAGTCAACGGTGAGTACCGCGGCAATCATGACCAGCACCTCGCGGGGAAGTCGGAATATAGGAGCTAAGGCATTGGCTCTGGCCGACATCTCCAACCAGAGTGCGCGGAATATGGCCGCCCCATTGCCCAATTGACGTGAGAAGTCGGCACGAGCACGCAGGTCGCTCGACGCCAGCAGCGTTTCGCTCCGAAGTCGGGTCCATCGAATATAACCAAGTAAAGGGCCTACAGGTCGGGATTGAGCAGGTCTGTCCATCGCCGAGCCTGGATCCGTGGGTAGCGAAGCCGGAGAATCGCGCTCAGGCTCTGATGGAACCGGAGGTGTCTCCGCGTCGATAATATTGGGCGTCCGCGGATCAATGGACTTGGAAAGCAGCGTAAGCACCCCGGCGGTCAAGAGATACTGCAAAATCCACGTACTTGAGAATACTGAGCCGATGCAACAGGTATATGGGACGTCATGGCGGCCTTGGTCAAGTGTGTGGCGCTGTGAACGCGCGCGCGCGTTTGCGGCCGCGGCGTCTGCAGCTGCGCTCGAGCTTGCCCCAAACCGCCATGACGCATGATACAAACCTCGCTCCTTCCCACCGTCTGCTTGGCTTCAGCTCTAAGGATATGATAAGATGACTATCTCTGCCATATTCGGGCTACGCAGGTGCACACTGGATTTGAAGTCATAGGCGTATACCTATTCGGTGTCGTCTACGCATCACCACCGGATGGTTTCGAACATTTCGAACAGGAACGTCCGCCCCGGCGCCGGCGTACCTGAGGCCGCACCCCTGCAACGCCATGACGATCATCGTATGCGCCTTGCGCTATCGCGAAGTTAGCCATACGCACACGACCCATTACTGATCACCATAAAGCGCGAGCGATCGCAGCGGACGCGTTGACTTACATCTTTTACTCCTTCATGCCCGCTGTGAGTGCGCCCGCGAAGGTGCTTGTCACCGGGGCAAACGGCTATCTGGGTGTATGGCTCGTAAGATCGCTATTGGAGCGAGGCTACCACGTTCGCGGTACTGTCCGCACCACGGGCAAGGGAGATGTACTGAAGCGCAGGGTGGTTGACGCGGGAGATAAGTTCGAATACGTCGTCGTCGAAGACGTGTTGAAGGTGTGCCTCGGCTTATCTGGATCATTACTCGGCAACGCATTGACACCGATTATCAGGATGGCGCCTTTGACGATGCCGTCCGTGGTATGGACATCATCATGCACACACTATCACCCAATGTTCTCAGTGAGCGGGAATGTTCGGTCATTAACCCGAGCAAAGAACTCATCCCCGCTACAGGCATGGTTCCCGAAGGTAACGAAAACTGAAGCTTCTGGGTGATCGCAGTCTCAGCCACGTCACTAGAGGTCATCGAGCCCGCGGTCAAGGGTACAGTGAGCATACTTGAATCGGCGGAGAAGCACCAGATAGTCAAACGTGTCGTCATCACCGGTTCCATTGGTGCTATCATGCGCTGGCCTCCCGGTGAACCAAGAGTGTACGACGAGTCGGTGATCAACGATCCGGCTATCCACGACGTCGAGCAGGGCAGCAAAGACCCGGTGACGATCTACTGCGCATCGAAAACGAAGGCTGAACAATGTGCGGCTTCTACCTTTTACCTCTCCAGAGCCTTCTCACCTCGCAACGCAGCGGCCTGGGCTTTTATGGAAAAGAAAGGAATCAAGACATTCGATCTGGTGTTTCTTAACGGCTCCATCGTAAGAGATACTGCTTTCATTGGCTTGAACTTGACACTAACGACAAGCATAGTTCATCGGTGTAAGAAACCGCCTTCTTTTGGAACTCTCATTTCTGAACTGCCGCGTAGCCAGTGGCGCATCCTATCTCTGGGCCCGCAGAGATGACTCTCTCCCTTCAGCACTTCTACCTCGGTGTCATACACGGGCGCACTGAGGCGACGATGTTCCGACCTGGAAGTGGCTGGATTGACGTCCGTGACGTCGCAGCCGCACACGTTCTGGCCGCACAGAACGAGAAAGCCGGTGGGCAACGCATCATCTTATCTGCAGGGGACTTTGTTCTGTCAGAGCTCAGTGAGTGATGCGTCGCATGACACAGTACTCCGCTGATTCCCCTCTTCTCGCCAGACGCCGCAGCACACGCCATAGACTCCACCCTTCCCGCAGGCGAAATCGCTTCGGATAAGGTGTACAAGTTTGATTCGAGGAAGATGCGAGATGTGCTGGGGTTGCGACCGAGGTCGCTCGAAGACAGTATCCGAGATTCATTGGCGTTCTATAAGACCGTTCCTAGCGCTGCTATCTAAGCGAAGGAGCTCGCGGAGGGACTGCCATCTTCAAGTACGATATAGATCATGTATATCTACGCAATCGGTAATTACGAGTCAGTGAAGGCGGCCAATACTAAGCTAGTACTTGGCGGTGTCAGCTCCGGACGCGGGCCGTTTTCTCCGAAGTTTATCGGTGATCTAATCAACGATCTCGATGGACGTTAACGGTTGTGGTTGCCTCTTGCCACCACAAAACCGGCCAACATTGTGACACCTTGTTCCCTCCCACAAAAGCATCGGGCCTCATGCGGGATATCGAACCGTATATAGAACCATCCGCATCTCTTCCAGTCCCACCATGTCATCCAGTCTCTTCGCTCCTCCCTCTCCCACTGCTGGGGATACCACCTTCTTGGACGCCAAACTCGACGAACGCCATACCCAAGCTGACGCATGGGCGGAGGACGACATTCAAACATCTGCACAATCGCCCTCGTCGCTCGGTGGAGCATTCATGGACCTACGAAGCAGATTACGCCTTCTCGACCACCGCGTTTCTCAAACGAACGATGTTGCCGCCCGCGCAGAGTATGCGCGGCGCTTGGCGAGCGGATCCGTTCTTTTCCGCGCTCTCTCGATAGAATTGGCGAGGGATGCCAACGCCTACGCCCCGATATCAAGTCTACCTATGGAGATCTTCCTTATGATTGTCAAACTCGTCAGTGTCCATGAGCCTCCTCATGGTCCCTCGCGCACCATGAACCCCGGTTCCGGGTCTAGTCCCTTGCAATCTGTCACGGGGGTCGACGGCTCGCTTGGCTGGGTGCGATTGTTGCATGTTTGTGCAGAATGGCGCTCGACTATTTCCAGGGACTCCGCCCTATGGGCTCGGCATGTGGGAACTCTACCCAAGGCGATTTCGACGTTCATACTTCGCTCAGGGATGGCCTTCCCTTTGTCAATCGACTTGGATTTGAACGCTTGGTCTCACACTTCCAATCTCAGGGAGATATTTCGAGAAATCCCGCCCCGACGTGTCAAGTCCTTGATTCTGAAGTTGAACGATGCTAGTGATGCTGCGTGGGTTCTCCGCGACAGCCACTATTTCCGAAAGACCCAATCGCTTTCGAAGTTGGAAAACCTTGATATTCGCACATTCAGCCCTTTGAACTTGGAACATGGGGCGACATCAACGATCTTCATCAACACACCTCGCCTACGTACCCTCACATTGGATCGGGTGCCCATCATCCCGTTCGGCCCGACTTACTTGACGAGTGTCAGTATACGCCAGTCCCCTATCTCATTCGCTGCACTGGATAAGATACTGGAGCAGTCTTCTGCCATGACATCCATCAGGCTGTTTGGTTGCTCTTTCGAATATCAACAAAGTCGCAGCACCAGGCGTAGCTTAGAGAGCCTGAAACTCCTTGTTTTACATGGCTGCCGGCTTCGGGACGATGATATCGATCACAACATATACGACGTCTTCTCAAGTCACTTTGACTTCGTCCCATCTACACGGCTAGTCTTGTTCCCTTTGATCCCCGTGCGCCAGGATCCTGTGCCGCTTGCTGAAAGCCGCATATTGCCGGCCATTCAGATGTGCATGCGAACGTTGCTACAAGGAAACGGCAAAGAATTCGGATTCGAGATTCTTCCGAACGAGATACGACTGGTTTCGTTTGCGGCGTACGAGCCAATGGACGAGGATTGGCCGGGAACCTGGCCTGACACCACTATATGCGCGCAGATTCGCTGCGATTGCCCAACAGTTTTTACGCGAGCACTTGCCGGTGTCCTTGCCTCAGTCGATCTGAGCCGCATCACTCTGCTTGACGTGCGTACGAACGAAGGCAGGGCATGGGAGCATACTATGTCATGCTTCTCGGAGGTACGGTTACTCCGGATGCAGAGCTACGCGTATGATCCCTTATCATGCCTGGGTGGCTGTCGTGACGGAGACAGTCGGTTACCGCTAATCCCCCAACTTACGCACCTCGTGATCGATTGCGTCGGGGAGCACGAGTACACGTATGGCATTCTTGTATCCACCCTTCGATCCCGCCAGACAGCCTTGTCACAGTTAGAGTCAGCGATACAAACCCCACATACTCTCTCTCTCCGCGGGTTTGGGTATCTGATCACCGATGGAGGCGAAGAAGTTGTTCCGGAATCGTTACGCCAACTCGTCCCGACCGTTCATTATATTCCAGTGCTTTCCCCCGATGAGCTCGACGCTCACGACCGGGACTTCTTCATCTTCTGAGCCATGTATTTGTAATCGACAGGATCGTTGTCGAAACATGAATGTCATTGCTATTAAATTGCTAAGCTGTGTGAGGATTGTATCGATTCGTCGGTATACAGTACAGTCGAACGCACTCGGACATAAGGGACAGAATCCGAAGTGAATCGGGACTAAACGTCGTGCTGACAGACCACGGATGAGTAATTCCCGAACCGGTCATTCCATGATCAATACCTGTAACGTCTTCTTCTCGGGGTGCAGGACGATCGACGGTGAGCTGAGCAGGATGAGTCCGACCTTATATAAGGGCATTGGCTCGTGAACACGAACGAATTGCATTCTGATACCTACCCACGTCATGCCTGCTGTGAACGCACCCGCTAAAGTCGTCGTCACGGGCGCTAACGGCTACCTGGGCGCCTGGGTTGCGCGCTCGTTCCTTGAGCAAGGCTATCATGTTCGCGCCACAGTCCGCAGCGCCGCCAAGGGAGACGAGCTTAGGCGTCTCTTCGCCTCATACGGCGACAAGTATGAGCCTGTCATCGTCCGGGACGTGCTGCAGGTGAATATGAGTCCAGTCAGCACCGCCGTTGTACTAACATCTCCAGGATGGCGCGTTCGATGAAGCGGTGAAGGGCACAGAGCTTGTGGTGCACACACTGTCGCCCGCTACAGTCAGTCAGTATACCGCTCTAACGGCATATCAATGAGTTGCTGACCTATACTTGCACTGGTTGACAGGCAATGATCCCAACGGTTCGTACGGGGGCTTGTTCCGCAATTTACCTGATGCGAGAGTTCTGTCTAGATATCATTCCACCCGCAGTGCAAGGGACCGTCGGCATCCTGAAGTCAGCGAAGAAGTACGAGGACACCGTCAAGCGTGTAGTCATCACAGGCTCTGTCGGCTGCATAGCACCGACGGATCAAGAGCCCAAGGTCTACGATGAGTCAATGGTGAACGACACCGACGTCCAGAGAGTCGAGCAGGGAGAGAGGAACTTCATGGTCATCTACTATGCGTCGAAGACCACGGCAGAGAAGGGTAAGCTGGCACAACTTCTGTCCGAAGCTATGCTGACCTTGCCTTGTGGTGCAGAGGCGTGGGCGTTCATGCGGAATAGCAATCCAGCGTTCGACCTGGTCTTCATACACGGAAGCGCGGTAAGTCTAGGTAATTGACATGCCTGAAGACGATGACACTGACATCGGCATAGTTCATAGGCGTACGTTGCCACCTCTGTCCAGCAACTGATGCTAACAGCTTCCGCGGGTGTAGCCTCCTGCCCACCCTCTGAAGTCCGTCAAAGAGACGTCGCTCTCGCTCCAGCACCTGTGGCTCGGCGCCATCGAAGGTCGCGACGCGGAGACAGTTTTCACTCGCGGTGAAGGCTGGATTGATATCCGCGACATTGCTCTATCACATGTTCTTGCAGCGCAGAAGTCTGAGGCAGGCGGGGAGCGCATCATCGTGTCCGCGGGCGACTTCGTCTGGCAAGATCTACGTCAGTCGAGCCATCTCTGCGCGTCTGATCGTGCGAAGATGCTTACCTTTTGTATACCACAGACGACGTGGCGCACTCAATTGACGCTAGCCTGCCTGCGGGCGACCCCACGGCCGAGAAGGTGTACTACAGGCGGTACAACAACGAGAAGATGAAGCGCGTGCTCGGTTTGAACCCGCGGCCGTTGGAGGAGACAATCCGAGACTCGCTCGAGTTCTACAAGACGATCCCCAAGTAGGCTCGACACAACGCGTGTACGATAGAATGGCCGTATAACTTGAATGTACCACTACCATTGCCGAGGAAAGATGGCTTGACGATATTATATCTTCAGCGGATGCCTGGTTCCGCCGCATCATACGCGTTCATCAGAGATACAATGCATGCGACGAAGGCCATATGCATGCAGCGGTACGCCTGGCTTTCTGTGTGATGGGTGTACGAGTGAGAGACGCGTCGGGGCCGCCGCTCGACCCCGTCGAGGTTAGGATTCGGCCACACTTGCGCTTGACCAGTGACCACCACTACCGCGACTATCAAACCTACTCGGCTTCGACCCTCCGATGAACCCAATCCTTATGGGTCTAACTTGCATGGCCACAACGTCCGTAGGACAAGGTTCCGCTCTAGGATGATGAACTCGACTCTCGGATACGACGCGGAATTGATTGGACGACCGAGACAGTGCTTCGTTAAGAGCGGATCAGGCTTCCATAGTGTACTTCTCAACCGCATGTGAGGCTACTCTATAACTGCTGGCTCACCTAATTGTACTAATGGGCTATGATAACAGTGACCGGACCAATCTCTCCCAGCGGGCGCAATCCCAAACAACCTCATATGGCATGAGCCACTCTGCATCCTCTCCTCACGCTCAAGCGCAACCCGATGCCTTCTGTTCCTTCCCCCGCCAAAGCTCTCGTCACGGGCGCCAACGGCTATCTCGGCGCTTGGCTGGTACGCACGCTCATTGAGCACGGGTACTACGTGCGCGGAACGGTGCGCACGCTGGCGAAGGGCGAAACGATACGGGAAGGGCTTGGCGACTTGAGGGAGAAGTTTGAATATGTCATTGTGGAGGATGTTCTCAAGGTCAGCTCGGTTGAATTGGGTATCTCGTCACCGATAGTGATCTCGATACAGGAAGGCGCGTTCGACGATGCTGTGCGGGGAATGGACCTCGTCATGCATACGCTTTCGCCTCTCTTTCTCAGTAAGACCCCCAGACGATGCATGCTCTTCCCATGACTCATTCCCCTTGCTCAACATAGGCAACAAACCAGACGGTGCGCCAATCGCATGCGTCGCATGGCGATACAGCTACTAACCAAACCGAGCAGACATCATCCCACCCGCCGTCGCCGGTACTCTGAACCTACTGCAATCAGCTCAAAAGCATCGCGATACCGTACGGCGCGTTGTGATCACCGGTTCGATCTGCACAATCCTGGCCTGGCCCACCGACGAACCAAGAGTCTACGATGAGACGTTGGTAAACGAGACGTCGATACAAGCCATCGAGGAAGGTTCAGTGGATCCTGTGACGATATACTCCGCTGCCAAGACTCAAGCCGAGAAACGTACGTTCTCAGTCACTCTTGAATGCACGAGTATTGTGGGACTGATTGGCTTCGGGCACGCAACAGGAGCGTGGGTCTTTATGCGACAGCAAGACGTCACGGAGTTTGATCTCGTCTACCTGCATGGGTCCTACGTAAGCGCATTCGCCCACATCCTGTGCGAGCACGACACTAACGCTCCATCAGTTTTTCGGCGTACGGCTTACCCTCCTACCTACATCATAAACGCATCTGACTGTCCGTCCACCCCTTACAGCCGTACTCGCATCCTCTTTCCTCGACGGCCGACTTTGGCGAATCCATCCGCTCTTTGCACTCAATCGTGACGCAGGGGCGCTTGATCAACGGACTCTTGAAGACCGGAACAGGCTGGATCGACGTTCGAGATATCGCACTGGCCCACGTTCTCGCGGGTCAGAAGGACGAGGCTGGCGGTCAACGCATCATCATCTCCGCAGGTGATTGTGTCGTAGGAGATCTCAGTGAGTACCTCCCCTTGCATCTCGTACAGAGGTTGTCATACTGAAGCGGGGCTTGGTGCAGATCGAGTGGCGCATGCCATGGACTCGTCGCTGGCAGAGTCGACAGAAGACGTGTTGTTGGAGAACCGCTATATGTTCGACACGAGCAAGATGCGGCGGGTGCTGGGGCTGAAACCGAGGTCATTGAAGGAAACTATACGTGATACGCTCGGCTTCTTCAAGACCGTCCCGGGGAGTTCTGTAGCAAGTTAGGCTTCGAGACAGGTTCACTCAGCAGCGGCGTTCGATTGAGAACCGCAACGCGTTGCGGGTCGCGGGGCTCAGCGACTGGTGTTTCAGTACCTCTGAACATGGCTTGGTTCGACAACAATGGCCGAGTTGGTTAACTTTGCATGTCCTCCTTCGTCGTTCTGCATTCGATAGGTTACACACATTTCTCCATTCTCTCGTTGTCAATATCATACATCTTCACGATTCTGTAAGTATCCGTACAAAGACATCGGTACCCAATACAAGGAGCCAATACCACATTGGCATCGGTGACAGCTGGAGCGCATGCTCAAGGGGGGCATCAGGATCGTTCTGCACGGTTCTCCAAAGTTTGCGGAAATCGAGGAGAACGCAGTGACGGTCTCGACAATGGCATTGCGTGCTTTAAAGGCGTACAGTCGGGTTACGCAGTAACCTCTACCCCCTCCCTTCATATCACGAGTCACTCGCCGTCCACATTCGCAAGTTCAAACGGGACATAACGAGAACTAGGTATAGTCTGCGCGTAGTATTAGCATGAAGAGCGAGAATGTAGACGGAAGTGGGCGTGCCTTGGTCCTAGGAGGCCGGAGGGGCGCGCCTGAGTACAGCAGCCCTGACGCGGCAAGCGACATCTAGAGTATAGAGCGCGGGCTAGGAAAGGCAGTGTCGATCAGGCCATCCTTGGGCGCAGAATGGCATAAGAACGCACGTATAGGCGCATCCTCCCCGTGGTCTACTACCGCAGTGTTCCTCTCCAACGCCAATGACCTTCCCTACTGACGCGAGGGCGAATCTCCTCCTGTCAGACAGTTCTCATCGAATATGCATATGTCCGTAGCGCGGTGACAGCTTGTGAAAATCGTACACGGAAGAGAGAGTAGCTCATGCTGGTTGGGACGAAGAAGCAATCATCATGACGTCACGCGTTCAACACTCATGTCCCGCTCTCAACTACGGTCGCGTCGACGGTTGTCCTCCTGTCCTCATGAGCCAAGATGGCCTCCACCGCATATGACTAGAGCATACACTATCTTACTCTCACTATCCTCTGCTGTATCTATATTTATACCTACTCTCATCGTGAATTAAGTTTCAATCGTCGACGGCTCAGGCTGACCCGGACGCCTCCGCCCTCCCACATCCTCCGCATCATGGCAATATCCTCAAGTTTAATCGCCGACGTTTGCAGCATAGACCAAACTGGAGAAGAATCAGTCCTTCTCTACCGCAAACTCCAGCTCCGCCCGATGAACGCGCACTGGGGGCCTGGGAGTATGGGTCCGCCGATGATGGCTGGCTCGTCTTACAGTGATGTTCCGCCAAACTCGTTTCATGGGTGGGCACGGGTGGGATGGGCCGCAGATGAAGATGAGGGAGATGCGTTTGGAGGGGCCTGTTGGGAGACGGATGGGAGGTACCAGTTGTGTTGATTCGGATCTTCGTTTTGTCTACTGTGTGTACCTTACACTGTGTCTGCATTGCTCTCTCAATATCTTATTTTTGGAATATGATGCATTGGCACGTCCTGTGGAGCGTGTACGCGTACCCGACTACATACTAAAGCAGAATTACATGGCTTCGCCGCTTCCCGTGACGTTCGAGTCAACTTGCATGACTAACCCAATCTCAACGAACCATACAGACTACACACCGAAATGTACGAACGGAACCCATCGCTCAAAATTGCCCTCACCGACCTTATCTTTCAGCACCATCGTCGCATGATGCAGAGCACGCGCCGCGCCGGTATGCCCCAACGGTATATCCCCAGACGCGCGTAGCTCAAGCAACTTCTTGTAGAACGCCTCAACAATGATCGGGGCGTCCTGATCTTGAATCGACCACATAGTCGCCACTACCCCCTTGAACCCGACCGCCAACATCCCTGCCGCCAGATGCGCCGACTCCTCCGGTATCTTCACGTCGCCCACGGCCGTTTCGCACGCCGAAAGAAATGCCAGCTCCGCGTTCTCGGAGACGTTGTGTATCAGCGTCCCCAGAGTGAGGGGCTTGTCGTGCAGCTCAATCGCGGTCAGAGTCGGGTCTTTCGAGTTTTGAGAGCCGTGGCACGCGAAATGCACCCAGCTGTGCTGTTTGATTGCGGCGAGCGTGGGTTCGACCGATGCCCGCTCGTCCTCGAGGAACTCGTGGCCTTCTCCAGGCATGATCGCGCGAAGACAATTAGTTTCATCGCGTACACACGGCAGAGGCGCCGATCCAAGACGAGGGGTATAGGATTGCGCGACGAGCAACATGCTTGGAGGAGCCGCGGGTATGTTTTTTCCCAGGCACCTGAGCAGCGCCGAGAGGGATGGAGTGTACGACGACATGACGAAGTCGAAGACTCGGAGACGCGACTCCTTCTGGTCGTAATTTCCTGCCGCGTGCAACGGCAACTGAGTGAGGGGTCCTGTAGGGCACCACACAATGTGTGACGATGGTTCTCCTGACGGTTCCGTGACCTTCGTCTGCATCCATTAGCCTCTCTATCTTGATGAAAACCAATATCACTCACAAGACCCAGTTCTCGCAGGATTGGATGCACGACCCATGACCACAGTAGACTTAGTATGCGAACGTAGATCGGGTATGTGCGAATGTTCCGCGCGTCCGCCCGAGACGTCTCTCCGCGTCTGTGACCTCTGCGAAGGCCAACATGCACCGTCCATAACGACCGTAACTTCTCCGCGCGTTTCTGCGAGAGATCTGGAAGCTGAACGACTTTCACAGAGCCATCGTCAGACATGACGAGAGCGTCGCAGGATGTTTCGGCAATATTGATGAAGACGACGGCGGTTGCACTCAAGCGGCGGAATGCGGGCGACGCGACGAGGTCTGCTAGCTTTTTGGGCCGCATGAAGTCCTGGAACCCATCTAAAGCGCGAATCCTCTTCACGAGGGCATCATATGTGATAGCCGCTCGCTGATATTGGTCCGAAGCCGTTTCGATGGGGAGGACATAGTGACTGGGAGCCGTGGAATCACTGTGTGAGTAACCCCGATCGCCGGTGGCTGGGGCGCGTATACCGATCTGAGCGGCTGTGCCAAGATGCTGTAGTCTCTGTCGAGCTACGCGCAACTCGTTTGCAGCATCAGGGTGGCATTCCTCGAGATTGTCCATGGAGCTTTGTAAGGACGCGATCTGTGACCAGATGAGGCTCCTCCCCGCTTCCAGCCATCCCACAGCCTGGCCAAGTTCCCTGCTCTGAATAGCAACGTACACGGCCGAATTGACGAGCTTTCCAATACGAGCAGAGTCTTCGAATCGGCGTTGGATACTGTGACCGAACCAGACGACTTCAGGGAGTGCGTCCACGACGCGCGAGTGCGCGGCAAGCAACGAAGCAAGGGTACAGAACTGAGGGTTCTCCGCCAAGAATCGCATGAGCGCTTTAGCACATTTGAAATGATCCTGGGGACTTGCCACAGGCTGATCAAGTGCACTGTGATATAATGAAGTGACTTCGTCGAAGTCTTCTTGCGTACGATGTTGCATGAAGTGAGAGGCACAACACAGAGCCAAGTATTGGATTCGTTCTATCATATCTGGATGTCCGTCGGGAGTCAGTTCAACAGCCTTTCGAATGGCCCTCAGTGCGCTATGAAGGTCGTCGCCATCTTGGAAGTGTTCAAATCGGGAGTGAAATGAGACCGCGAGCATGGTAAGCCGCCGCGGGATGTCAGGATCGTTCGCTGACGTGAGTTCTTCCGCGCGTCGGTTTGCATCGAGTGCACTCTCGAGATCACTGGAGTCTCCGAAGCGTTCAAATCGAAATTGGAAGGAGGCCGCAAGGTTGATCAGCCTCCGCGGGAGCGCAGGATCGTCCCTTGGCGTTAACTCGACCGCGCGTCGGTCTGTTTCGAGTGCGCTCTCCAGATCGCTGGAGTCTCCGAAGCGGTCGAATCGAGAGCTTAATAAGACCGCAAGTTCGCTCAGCCGCCGCGGGAAGTCAGGGTCGTCCTTCGGCGTGAGCTCGACCGCGCGTCGGTGTGCTTTGAGTGCACTCTCGAGATCCCTGGAGTCTCCGAAGCGAGTGAATCGAGAG